AAGGTACCAACCTCATTTCTTGTGCCCGCTGTTTTCCAAGGGGTCTGTCGTGTCTCAAACCTAACAGAAAAATATGAATCGCGAGTATGTTGAAGACGAAGGCTTTCCGCATCGATTGACACTACCCTTGAGGCACTTTGTGAGGGGGGATGAGTGTTATCGTCGCTCGAGGGGTTTCGAAGGCGAGCTCGTCGGCTAGTCTCGCTTAGCCCATCACCTCCATCAATGGCCTCTGAACGCGTCCTGCGTCCTGCGTCCTCAAGAATTGAGCGGCCCTAGTCTGTCGTCCCCGGACTCAGATCGTCGTCGATCGTGTGCCTAGACCCGCATATCAGAACAATGTAATGCGCCGCACCTTCGCCAGGGCATGCTGACCTCCCCGGGAATACCGGAATAGCAGGCCTAAGCCTGCGATTCTTGATATAGCGGGCTTCTTCGGGGTGAAGGGGAACGCTTCCAGTCCTCGTGTAGTATAATCACAGCACACGCTCCCGGGCCAAACAGGTGGCCGTGTACAGCCGCTGCGCGCGGGGGGGGGGGCATGAGATCATCTAGGGTTCCTTCGCAAAGATATAGAAACGCAACGAGGCTGAGTGTGTCCGAACTCGAACGAGTGGGACAAGGGCAGCGTAGTAAGCACTGCGCTATTTGGGTAGGCGCTGCGGAGGTCTCACGGCACGGCGTCCGCGAACGCCTCGCGCTTGGCTTCGGCAACAATGAACTCCTCGCACTCTTTCCTGCTCTTCTGGACGTCCACGAAGTACAGGAAGGCCGTGCTTAGCGCCCCTCTGGAAAACATTCGAGGCCAGAATGTCAGTGACCTTGGACTAGACGTTGGATGCAAGTGGTCACGCGCGACTTACAGGGTGAACAGGAATACGAAAGGATAGTTGTCATTATTCCCGGACGCAGTGATGATGGCTGAGGACACTAGGGGCCCGATGAAGGCTGAAGTCTTCCCCACGACGGAAAAGAGCGCGAAGAACAGGAACCTGTATTTGGCGGCGCACGAGCACCAAGAGGATCGTGTTAGTGGCCGCAGCTTCGACGGACATGGGCACTGGGGAAATGGCCACAGTGGGCGTGCGTACATTTGGGGCAACGGGGAGACTTCGCTGATCATGGTCTGGCTGTATGCATACCAAGGGCAGACCATGAGGCCGTAGTAGGCCTGGTACAACCTGATGAGAAATATTTTCAGCTGACGGTCTTCCTTCGAAACGATACGCAGATGCGCAGTCATTACCAGATTTCCCAGACATGCTTGAACCCGAACTTGTCGGTGTGAATCCCAATGAGACCCCAGACGGTGAGGATAAGGATCCAGAACACATTGAAACAAAGCATCTGGATAACACGATCCGTCAGCACGTCATGCAAGCGACGGGAAGCCAAAAATACGGTAGGGGTCATAGCTACGCGATACGCACCGTCTTCGTCGGGATCTGGAATCGCTTCTGCACGAGCCAGAACAAGCTGGATCCATGTAAGCCCGACAGTCACATGCGGCGACCTTTACGCGACAGGGTAGAAGCTCACTATATGCCTAGCCCTTGCGTCACAATGCCGACAATCAGGAGAAGCGTGAGCTGGAGGGTCGAGTATGACACCACGCTGTTGCCATAGTTAGAGGCAGACCTGGACACGTCTGGGACGAACGCGACTGACCTATTCTGTAGTGTTCCTATCACAGTGCTGTTGATAGCTTAGCGATTGTAAGGGCTAGACATCTAATGAACTCACACTGTTGTGTTCAGTACGTCACCCCTGGGTACGTCTCAAGATCAGCTCTCAGGGAGACCAGGGGGGAACGGCATACATCAAGAAGTAAAAGATGAGATACAGGAACGTCTGCTTCAGTCTCATACACTCGCGAAGCGCGATATACGTCTGCTTCAAGCCGATGGTCAACATGGACACGCCGGGAGGCAGAGAAAGACCCGGACGCCGCCGCTCCAAGAAGAACCACGGTAAGGCGCACAACACTGTGAACGGCGGTGTTTGCTGTCAGCGATCAGTGCGGTGACAGAGGACACATACGCCAACAGCCGCCGGAGAACGCAATGAGTGCACTAAACGCTTTGGTGTTGTTCTCGGTGCTCGCGTCGGACTTGAGGCCTTTGAGAATGCCGACCATGATGGCGAGGATGATGATCTCGCCGGCAGAAGATACGGCAAAGGAAACGTTGGAGATGCGGTTCCTCTCCATGGACTCTAAGTCCGCATGCTTTTCTACGCTGATCAGAGAGAGAGTCGGTCATGATAAAAGTGGATGCAAGGGACTTTTGCACCTCTTCTTGCCCGAATCGACCTGGGCAGCCGACTCCTGTACAATGGGCAGATCCCTAGCCAGACCGGGGAACGCAGCCGTCCAGAACGTCAGTGCGCACTGTAAAAATAGTCAGGAATCATGATTGGTCAATACGGCGCATGAACCAACCTGGTAAGTGATTACTGGGTAGTCAAGACGGATCAGTCACTTTGGTTTACACGTACGGCAAGCACTACTTACGGCCGAGGATGTACAATGCAACACCCGCTTCCCATCTTGATGGGTCCTCAACACCTAGCCACGCGAAGGATACTGCGACGGCGAGTATTGTAAAGAAGATAGTGATGTTTGGTCTGCAGGTCACGTCATTGACCACTGGGCGCTGGTGGACTGAAGTTAAAACTTGCCGCCAGGTGCCATAGTCTGCCCATGCGCCGATGATGAGCAGGACGACAGCCTGCAGCGCGAAGCTGATGCCATTCGTGAGTAAGACGATGGAATTTACTGTCGCAACTAGCAGTAATTAGTGTCCTGAGAACATCCATGCTTTGAAACGCACGTGCCGTCTCGGACACGTCCCAGATACGGCAGCACACAGTCGGTGCCGGTCCCGCAAGGAGCAGTAAAGGGGGGTTGACTGGGGTCATAGCCTGCAAGGAACAGCAGGTTTTGGAACTGAGATGGTCCGAAGTTAAAGCCAGAGAGGCCGTTGTTGCCCTGAGGGGAAGGCGCGATCGACGATCAGAGGGCCAAGCAAAAGGATGATCGTAACTTGTTGCTTACGATGTAATAGACATAAAATGCCCAGAGCTCGACGCGGGTGGTCGTCCACCGCCGCGTCTCCGCATCTGTGCGCTCGGCGACAGGCAGTTCGAGATTTTGGACTGCTTCCTTCTTCTCTGCCATCGTCCAAGTTGTGCTCTGGACGATAGAAACCGTCCAAAAAGCACTCAAAAGCCGCCCGCTCCACGTCCATCTTTCAGGGTGCACGCTGACAGGAACAGGGAATAATTGGTGGCCATTTCGCGCCAGCCGGGAGCGATAAGGATGCTTATCGGGTCTGAATGCTATTATGGGCATGTAAGAGGAGCATAACGCCAAACGCGGAGGTTACCATCCAAATCCCGATTTCCTCCGGCTCGGGACGGAGACAGTCGACGACGTGCGTCCGACTCCGCACGCTGTTCTACACATTCCCGACACTACGTCGGCCGCCACTACACTACACTCACGCATGTTGCGTGCTCTTCCTGTCTCGAGGGCGGTAGGTGCACCTTCGGGCAGGGCTGCGGTTCGGGTCGTCCGTCGCGTGAGTCTCTGGTTTCGGTCATGTGTTTGCAACGTCTGACAGCGCAGAGCGCATAGAGGTTCACGACCGAGCCGCTTCCAGCACCGCCCAAGAAAAAGAAAAGCGTCGTGCGGAGACTAGTCTTCTACACGGCCGCAGGTGTCTCGACCTTCTACGTTGGCAGCGCTTTCGTCTCGTTCCAGGTCCCTCAGTACCGCGAACTATTCGTTGAGCATGTGCCTTTTGGCCCATCCTTCCTTCAGTATGCGGAAGACCACGAATGGGACACCCTCACGGTCAATGATGTCGTTAGGTCCGGAGAGAAGGTCGTCGTTCTCTCCCAGGAGGTTTTCAACAGTATACTGTCCTTGTTCAGCGGTGACAACGCGAAGGACGCGTATGAGAAGACAAAGGAGCAGGCGAAGGAGGCTTACGAGCACGGCAGGGACAGGGTGAAGTCGATCGCGCAAAGGGCCGTGACACAGGTGGACAAGAGCGAGTCAGCGATCTACGACAAAGGTGCGAAAGCTGCTGCAGTTGCCAAGCACCGAGCCGCCCAGTTCTCAGAGGGCGTCGAGGAGCTCGTCCAGAGGGCCGAGGATGCGTTGGCTGGCAAGCCGACTGACAGACTCCCGGAAGCGACGACGACCCCTGCGCAACCTGCTGTTGCTCCTCCTGATACCATCCCTCCTCGGACGAACGAACAGGACACCCCTGCCAAGACTGGAACTGTTTACGACGCCCCTCTCCCTGTCGGCTTCGAGCCTCCTCCCGGCTACACTCGTCCAAAGCCACCAAAGAAGCCCGAACCCGAAGCAGCGCCCACACCCGCTAAGCCGGCTGAGCCCGTTCCTCCTCCCCCCGCACCCGAACCTCTCCCTCTGGTCGCGCCAGCTGTCTCCGAGTTCAGCGCGTCCGAGCCGATTATTGCTCAGCTCGCGACTGTGATAGACGACCTCGCGTCGTATCTGAACACGAACCCGACCGCCGCGGAGAAGGCACGCGACATCCTCGACACGGCCAAGATCGACCTCACGCAGCTCGCGGGCCGCATCGACGAGATCAAGGTTGCGGAGGCGAAGAAGCTCGAGGCGTCGCTCGACGAGCAAGCGCGCGAGTGCATGCAGTCGCTCATGGAGCTCGAGATGCAGGCCCAGGACAAGCTCGACAGCCAGGAGGAGGGCTTCCGCAAGTTCTTTGAGCAGGAGCGCGCGAAGTTGATACAGGAGTACAGGCAGAAGCTCGAGCTCGAGCTTGAGACCCAGAGCGAGATCATCAACGAGCGGTGCGTCGTCCTACATATCCACCTTGTGCGCGTGCAGAGCTGATATGTCAGCCACATTCAGCCTAAAGACGGAGGTCATCGCGCAAGGTATCGAGCTCCAGCGCCGCTGGATCCGCGAGATCAAGGTGCGCGTCGAACAGGAGCGTGGCGGTCGTCTAGCCAAGCTCGACGAGATTGCGACCAACCTGAAGCGCCTCGAACGCGTCGCGCTCGACAATGCCGGCTACCTTGACGAGAACATCCGCGTACACGCCCTCTGGTCCGCCCTCCGCGCCGTCAACCACGCCGTCGACGCGCCCGAGCGTAAGCCCTTCCGCGAAGAGCTCCGTGTCCTCCGCCACGTCGCCGCGGCACGCGAGGACCCCGTCGTCACAGCCGCGCTCCAGACCCTCGAGGCGTCCGACGTGCCCGACGTCGGCGTCGAGCCCCTCGCGGACCTCACGACGTGGTTCACGTCGTCAGTCGCACCGCGTGTGTCGAGCGTTGCGCTGGTCCCGGACCAGAATGCGGGCGTGCTGTCGTACCTTGCATCAAACCTGTTCTCAACGTTCCGCTTCCAGCGGCATGGTCTCGTCCCCGGGTCGGACGTGCTGAGTGTGCTGGCGCGGGCGGAGTACTTCTTGAACGAGAAGGATCTGGATAGCGCTGCTCGCGAGCTCAACCAGCTCAAGGGTCCTGCGAAGGTGCTCCTCACTGACTGGCTGGACGCTGCTCGTAAGCGACTAGAGGTGCTCCAAGCGCTACAGGTACTGTTCCTTCTTGATATTGTTTCGGTGAAGTGACTGATCGTGTTTCTCCAGATCGTTGAGGCAGAGGCTACGCTTGCGTCGCTTTTGGTCGTACAGGACTAGATTTCGTATAGTAATAGTTCATTAGATTACAACCACTGGACATCGTACAAGCGCATGCGTTGTGCAACTCCAGACATACTGCTGAATCTCAGCTCAGTATCAGCCACATAGGTGAAGGCGGTCTACTGATACCCTCAATCCCGATCGTGGGTATGATGCCCGGATCTCCTGCCAGGTTGCGGCAGCGACGATTTTATGCCCAGATGTCAAATTGCCGTGCCTTCAGTGAGCATCACATGCAAGTCCAATCTATCTAAGCTCAAGAAGATAAGCCTCTTCGCCGACAACGCAGTACTGCTCCGATACAGATACATAGACATGCATCTACATATGCTGGCAATTGATCTCCCCAGCTAGAAACCGACCTGCCAGCTCCGACCACATTGCCGCAGCCGTGGTTTCCCGAATCGGTAGGAGCGACGAGCCAAAGACTTCAGCGAAGTCCTTTACATTGAACCCAATGACGAGCTTGCATAGGTCTTCCTCGGCCTGCCACTGGTCTGCGTTCACTCTCGAGGAGCGACCCTTTTTCTCATCAAGATGCCCCTCGAGCCCCCTGATGCGCAGTAACATCTCGACCCCGAAACTGTACGCTGGCCAATTGCCTAGCATACATTTCCCTTCCGGGTCCGCAGGACTAGTGGCGCGAAGGAGAAGGTGGTCGGGGAGCATTAACTCGGCAATGCTGAACCCGTCTCTGGAAGCTCCACTCCCACTAGAAGAAACAACTATGAGAGCACGGCATGACAAGGAGAGATTGGCACCGACCTGCTTCTGAATCCCCAAGACATATTCATGTTGTAGAGGGCGGGAGATACGTGGTTGGGTCGAGGGATAACGCGGTTGCGAAGTTGAGAGACATGCAGCACTTCTCAAGAACGTCTTATCTACTAATCGTACCCTGCTGCGGTAAGGGTTTTTGTGGGCTCGTGCCCTATCTATGACGGGGCTCTATAAGTACACATGGTCATTCGCCCACTCAACGTGCTGTCAGGCCGAACAGCGAGGCTGCAGACGTACGAGCCCGGAAAACGATCTGCGCAGTGCGCATTCAGAGTCTGGGACCACTCTTTGGACACGTTCATCCATCTCTAGCGCGCCCCATTTCGACATACCTATCTAATGCATGGCTTACGAGAATCCGCTGCACATCGGGCTTCGATGTCGCATCAGTGCGCAACGACAGGCAGCCGCAGGCGACACGAGCTAAGCTAGGTGCTCCCCGCCGTGACGGCACACGAAATAATATGGGCTGCCCTGCGTCATAGAAAGCAGTCAGAATTATTACACAGGCCATGTACGAGGAACGAACCTTCTCGGAGGAGTCGAAGCAAGTTTCATGGACGAAGAGGAACTCCTACCCTTCTGTCAAAGGCGCACAGAATCCCCTGCATGGTGGCACCGAACTCGGGAAATTTGAACTGGTCGTTGGAGAAATATCTTAAACTAAGTGTACAATAACAGACCGGCTTCTACCAGTCAGCCTAGAGCCTGTAAACAGACGCGTCTGAGTAGGGCGTACTTCTTCGGGGTCCTGGACAGCCGACTTCAGAAGTCATGAGATTCTCCTGTGTTGACTGGGTGATGTCAGGGAAAGATTGGAACGCACACCCTCCGCATCGATTTGTCGATTTCCTAACCTGATATAAATAGGACAATACTTTGATGTACTCGGCTGAGCATTGCTTTTGACCACCTTCTTCAGTTAGCCTTGCGTTTGTGGCCTACCGGTGGTATGATAGCTTGCTTGATTGAAACCATCAGACATCGTACTAGTGCACGGACAACACAGCTTTAGGAACCGATCCTATACCTAAGCGACAGTCGGTAAGATGCCAAAATTCTATCAGTATCCCCCGTGCGGGTGTGCGTATGGTTGCGGAGACACCGACGGAGGCGCAGATGGTGGGGGCGACACGCCCATAACACCGGGGCCCATACCTACACCAGGCGATACCACTCCTGTGCCCATCAAAGCGCATTCGCATATAACTTGCGCTCTCCGCACCACCGTCTGGACGTCCTCTGTCGAGACTCCGTTCGGGCCCTGGGGTCCCCGGGAGACCTTTACCAATCCAGGGAACACCGTCGCGCCAACACGATCCAGCTCGCCCCTCTCCGTCTTGTGGCATCTCTTGACGAGCTCGATCTGCCGCGGGTTCATGGTGATCGCGACGTCGGGGACGAACGCGCGGTAGAACGCGTCAACGGAGCCACCGGAACTCGATGGAGCCCCGTGGAGCATGCGCGAGAACTCGTAGGCGGCTTCGAGGACAAGATAGATGCCGCTGGCGGCGGTGCCCTTGGCGTTAGTGTCGAGGCCAAGGATCTTCGTGAGGTTTGGCATGTGCTCGGATAGGAAGAAGCGGGACATGTCTTCCGAGCAAGACTCGACGGCGGCGGTGAAGGTCTGTCGGCGCCATACTGCCGCCACGGTAGCATCACCTGGAAGATATCATTGGTCTCCATTGGTCGCTTTCAATGAAGGGACGCACTCACGGGAGAAGATGTGCTCGTGTATCCGCGTGAGCTGGATGTTCGCCTCAGGGGAGTCTGTGACGATCAGGCAATTCACGATGCCTTCAGCAATGGTCTTCGAGACAGCATGGCGTAGCAAGCTCTGAATCTGGATACCAGTAGCGTTGGGTGCGTTGGGCCCGAGCTCCGGTGGATCATCGTCGAACACGTCCGTAAGCGCAGCTTGGCGAATCGTGTTGAAGGGTACAGGAGGTGCGCGGGTCACGTCCGCGGCCCAACGGTTGATCTGCCTCTCCAAACCCGACGCGGCATTCTGTGCATGTCGTGCGAATGCGTTCACCCTGAGATTTATCTACTTGTAACACATGACATACCTTGATAGAAAAGTCATCGACCGAGTTCCCACCAAGCTTGCTCACGCCCAGATGGCTATTCTGATTTGTCCCCTCAAGTAGGGCGATCCTGGCTCGCAGGAGGGCAACCTGCTTCTCCTGCTCCTGTAGCTGTACTCGTTGCTCCTCTACCTTCTCGTGGGCAATGCGCTGCACACGTATCGCGTTGTTAGGAAGCAGGCGTCATTCGCACTGTCCGGAAGCGACGTACGAAGTTAGTCAAAGCATATCGGTATTGCTCCCCAGAAACGATGTCGGTTTGTCCTTGGTACGCCATTCTTGCTATTTATCCGGAATGTAGTCAAGACCGGGAGGAATCTGAGAGTAAGTGGGTGAGAGGGATGATGCTGCGTGCATGGCGGATCGGGAGGACGCCTAAAGCAGACATGATACATGGCGTATCTGACAACTGACAACCTACCCTCTTGGCCTGCACAGCCCCTGCCACATTGCCGCACTGGTTCGCCTACCGCAAATCCACATCATATCGGACATCTTCAGAGAGACTGTAAGCAGCGACTCTTTCGATTATATGTGTACAACGAAGACCCCGACAAGTAATCCATGTAAATTAAAGCGAGATTAACGCCCCGGTGAATGATATATAGCCGGATGTACCCTCAGAACCGATATGCAAGCTACAAATACATCCATCCCACCATGCATTGAACAAAAGATACTTTTGGCGACGAGATGCATACCACTTCAGTGAATATGAGCTTCAGAGACTGCCTGGTGTACCCTTCTGTCCGTACTCGCCCGACACATATCTCGGAACGAACTGCCCGGCCTGCGTAAAAGCTCGTTTGGCGAGTCGAATTCGACAATCTCGCCCGAACCAAGGACCATGATTCGATCATAGTCTAAGACGGTCTTGAGGCGATGGGCAATGGTAATCACGATCGCACCTGCGAACTCCTCTCGGATCGTGCGTTGTATCTGCAAGAGATTAAGCATTCGCCTCAAACGTCAGACAGCGTAATCATCACTGACCTGGTCATCAAGATCGCTATCGATCTGAGAAGTTGCCTCATCCAGTATCACGACGTTACTGTGCCGTAGGATGGCACGCGCCATTGCGACTAGCTGGCGTTCACCCGCGCTCAGGGAGCCAGTTTGGCTGATGGGCATGTCCAGCGTGATCTCGTGGGACTCTTGCGTACGTTGTAGAGAACCCTTGAGGATAGTTGTGAGGCGACATCGTTCGAGGACATCCCAGCATTCTTGGTCAGTATGTTCATTGAAGGGGTCCAGATTACTCCGTAGTGTGCCGGAGAAAAGGGAAACGTCCTGGCTAATGATAGTCTGTGGTCAAGTTAGCGAGTGAGCGACAGTAGTGGCCTTCTGGTAGCAATACCACGTACGATTCGACTTCGCAGGTCTTCCAGACCGATAGTAGTGATGTCAATACCATCAATTCTAAAGGATTGTCACTGCGATGAAATGATAAAGCTGTCGTTCGCGCTCACATTATATGACCTCCACTCGGCTCGATGATCCTGAGAAAAGACATCGCCAAAGTTGACTTGCCAGACCCGGTCCTTCCAACGACTCCGACCTTCTCCGCCGGTTTGACATAAAACGACAGCTTCTTCAGTGCTGGGGGAAGGTGCGGCGCGTACTTCACGACGAGGTCCTGCACAACGAGTTCCCCATTGCTCGACGGCCAGGCAGCGGGCGGCCGCTTCTCTGGGATGATTGCGGGCGCCTCCTGCGGTACCTCGAGGTACTCCACAATACGTTCGACGGAATTGAAGTCGAGCTCGACTTGGGCGAGGACCCTTCGTAAGATGGAGTCAGTACGGTTCACAATTGCAAGCATCAACGACTACCTGACGAGTTGCCGAGAAGCGTCGGCAAACACTCCTGCCTGGACAATCACCAACGCAGCCCAACCGGACGAGACGGAGCTCCCGAGGGCAAACAACGTCGTCATGAAGACGACGACGGAACCCAAACCTATACATGACGTTAGTTGACGTGGTTTTCCGCGGGAACACATGAATACGAACAGTCATATCGCCAGTTCAGCCAACCAGCGATCAACCACTATCGCGTCATATCAGTTCACCACGTCACCCAACGCAGTCATTCGAGGAAGACGCACATAGACATGGTCAAACGACTGGAACTTGTCCACTCGCGAGTAGAATCTGTCCTGGTACCGCTCCTCCATCCCGAATGCACGAACATGCGGCAGACCCCTCAACAGCTCGTCGAACCCAGCAAACGCGGGAGACAGCGACACAGACTCCAGACGTCGCAGGTCGCGCGAAGCACGCACGTAGGACGGCGCCAGGCGGATGTATAGCCATGCAATGAAGATCGCGAAGGGTGCGAAGGAGGGCACGACGGAGATGATGACGGAGAAAGAAATGAGGAAATTGAGCGTTCCGGACAGTGCGGAGCGAGCGGAGCCTTGGAGGTTGTAGTCGACCGTATTGATGTCCGAGGTGAAGCGGTTGAGGATGCGCCCGATGGGAGTGATGTCGAAGAAACGAGAAGGAGCCCGAGACAGGCGCTGCAGCATGGAAATGAAGAGCGAGCGAGACGCTTGTAGGCTCGCATAGTATCCAAGCGAGATGTAGAACAAGGAAAACAGAGCCCCGGCCATCGAGATATACAGATAGATCATCAGCCAAGGCCAGACGTCTTCATCGGGCGGGGGCAGGTGGTCGAAAATTCCTGGTCCAAGAGCAACAGCTTCCGAGACTGGACCGTGTTCGTAGGCCTCGCCCCATTTTGCTACGAAGAACTGCGACATGATATATATAAGTGGCTTTACACGCCGAATACTCCCACTCACCTGGAAGCCGACATTGATTATCCGGATGAGGAGCATGAACGCGAACGTGAAGATCCAGCACACAATCCCGGCGGCCCTAATATAGGTCCAGTAAGTCCGTAGCGACACCCGGCCCTCTGCGCGCGTCTCCTCGTCGACGAGCTTTCCGGCGTCGGTATCCGTGAGTAACCCGTCGGGTTTGCCAACGCTGTTGCTTTTGCCGTTCTCGGGGTTCTTTGTGACGTCCGCTTCGTTTTCCACGTCTGTTGTAGAAGCCGCATCTGTTGCCTTGCCTTCTTCCACGGTATCCTCAGCCTCAACGAGCTTCTCCAGCTCCCCACGCTCCTGCAACTCCGAAGTCAAGCCGCTGCGCAATACCGCACCCGACGAAAGCTCTACGAGATAAGCCGCAATAGGTAGGCACAGACTGATATGGTGGGTGACAAGAATGATGGTCCGGCCACGCGCGAGGTCCCCTGACAGCGCCTTCTTGACGAGGTGGGTGGCAGTGTGCAGGTCAACTGCAGCGAGTCTGGAAAGATGTTAGCGTGTAGGCTCTGCTTCTAGAGATGTAACGTACGGGTCATCGAGGAGGATAACCTATAGAGCTGTATCAGCCCCTGTCAGGAGATTCCTTTAGAGGCATGGCGTACCTTCGCGGGAGAATACAAAGCGCGCGCGAGAGCGATCCGGGCGCGCTGGCCGCCAGAAAGGGTAATGCCCTTCTCGCCAATTTCTGGAGCACCAAACTGAGTAATACGTTAGCCATGCGTGCGGTTACCGACATACCTGTCATGTCTCCTGCTGTAAAAATCTCGAAATCCTTCGCGAGAGCACAGGCATCCACAACAGCTTGGTAGCGAGCCTCATCATATCCAAATCCAGCGCCGAAGATGATGTTGTCTCGGATGGTGGCATGCTCGAGCCAGGCGTTCTGCGCGCAATAGGCAACTCGGTGACCTGCCTTGTTGAGTATCACTCGGCCTGATGTACAGTGCATCTCTATAACGCGTGATCAGTATCGGGATGGGGGACTAGAGCGACCAGGTCGACGTACCTCCAAGCAGCGCCGTAAGGAGCGCGGACTTCCCAGAGCCAGTTGGTCCGCTCACTAAAGAAAGCTGTCCAGGAGGGAATCGGATGTTCAGAGGACCCAGCGTGAACCTAGAGGGCGTCTCTTTCTCGGCTATGTCCCACTCGAAAGTCGCAGTATCAAACCCCACTTCAGTCTCGTTGGACGAAGCAGATGTAACATCCCGTTTCAACGACGAAGCCCAGGCTGGAACCTCTTCCTCGTTGAGAAATCGTTCAATACGTTGCATGCTGACGTACGCTGGGTATTCGATATCAGCCATCAATCGACGACTTGACCTTGCTGTGAAGAACATACCGTGCAACATAGCGAAAACTTGATCGGGGAGTTCTACCATTGGGCCCTGAAGGTACGAGAAGAGCGCGATTGCCGTGAACGCAGTCGCGACAGTGAGCGGTTTGCCTGCGACGACGGTATAGCAAACGAAGGTCGCGAGCGCCGTGCCCGACGGCATCCAGCTCCAGATAAACGAGATGAATGTATCGACGATGTTAGCCTTGACGCGCCATTTCAGCTCCGACTCTCGCGCTTCCTTGACGCGTTCGCTCCATCGGGACTCTGCACGAGAATGTCAGAAATCCAACACAAGTGCGACGGCCATACGGCATAGCGTACCCCATCCATAAAATTTGAGGAAGCGAATGTTCTGGAAAAGTTCATTTACGGTGTTCATCCTGCGATCTGACGCCTTCCAGCTCTGGCGCATAAGCTATCCGCGCCATTGTCAATTATGGCCATTAGTCCTAAGCCAGGATGACCACGCACGTATATGTCATACTTTGCCAAGGGGTAGTTCATAAGGTAAACCACGACCGTCACGGCGACAGCGGTGAAGGCGCTCCACCCTAGAACTCTGATCGGTGGATGTTCGTTAGATCGATAAAAGTGCCGGGTCGTTCTAGCGTGCCTACCTGTAGAGATACACCAGAGCGATGGTCAGGCGGACGGGGGCCAGGAAGAAGCCGGAAAATTGCCAGAAGCGGTGTGCCACGGCATATGCATCTCCTCTGCCCCAGCTGGTCAATATGGCGACATCACCGCGGCTGCTTGGCAAACCTACTGCATGAGGTTGACGATCTTGCCAAGATCCGCATTGCCTTCATCCTCGTTTTCCAGCAAGGGATCGTCGTTCTTGGGCTCATTCTTACCGCTCACGTCTCGCCTCTTCAGTGCCCTGCGAGATTCAACCGTTGGGGAGTGAACACGGGTCTTTATGCAATTGGATGTAAACGCACTTGTAGTGGAGTGCGCAAAATAGTTGCCCTCTTGTACGCTCGTAGCATCGTCGGTTGAACCATCCCTGGTTCACATCCACTTGAGCGAAGGAGAGATTGGCAATGAACGCAACAGCAGCGAAGAAATAGGCTGTGCTCTTGGCGTTCGGAGAGGGGTCGGAAAGGGCCTGTAGGATGCGTTGCAAGGCATAGGGCGGAACATATCCTGGACACACGCGCGTTAGGCACGCTCCTGACAAGACATGCACGCGGCCAACTCACCAACCACCGCGCTCCAGGTTTCCAGTAGTAAGTCGAGAATTAGATCGAGGGAATTAGACACGATTAAGTAGCGTAAGAGGGAGTGCGTCGGATGTCTATCTACAATGTAAGCCTAGAGACTGAAACACGGACTGCATAGGGACGTACGCAGATGCATATCGCAGGTATTTTGTAAATATGTTCTTGTGGGTCAAGAACGGCGAGAGCCTCCAGACGTCAGACTCGTTGACGGTGCGCGCATTCGAAACCTCAAACAAAGGCTCCACGAACGAAAACGTGGACCAACTCCAGAGATTCGCGCTATCCTCCGGCATCGTGAAATTACTCGATGGGGGCTTTCCGGAGGAGGCACGTAAGACCAGCCGCGTTCATTGCAACGTGTCCGACTAGAACTCACCTCGAATGGTCTCGCAACATCTGGTCCAGGCCACACGTCCCGCAAAGGGTACGTCCCCGCTATCCAGATGAGTGTGCCCAGCACGCAAAGCTGCAGCGCGCCGAGCCCGAGGGCGCCATACTGCACGCCACCGCCGCCTCTCAGGACATCAAAGACGAGCTCGTAAGCCGCCGCAGCCGCGCACGTCACGTAAAAGCACAGGAGGAGGTACGGGGGCGTCACCGGGGGTCTGACGAGCACGCGCGTAAGCGCGAATGTCTGCAGCGCGGTCGGCGCGCCGCCGCCGTCCATCAGCACAACGTTGATCCTTCGTCGGAGCGCGCGTCGGACGAAGTACGCACCCATGCGAGAAACGCCACCCCGGCTCTCAAGCTTCCCTCCCAGTCGGCGACCTCCTGCTTGTAGGCGAGCACCGCGAGCCACCCGACGCTCTGCGCGGCCGACCCGACGACGAGAGCGCGCGCCTTCCATGGTGCACGGTGGAGCGGGCACAGCGTGGGCGCCTCGACGTCTTCGAGAGTGAAAAAGTTGCGGAACGGTCTCGAGAGTTTGAGAGCGACGTTCTGGACGGCCTTGGGGTATGATATCCGAGAAAGAAGCTCATAGGACAGGGCGAGGAGTGCAGCACTGGCCGGCAGGAGAGTCGTGACTACGTAGTCAAGTTGGGGGCTGCTGCCTAAAGGTCCGGGGCTGTCTGAGGTGGTCGCGGAGAAAGTCTCGGGGATCGAGAGGAGCCCTGTGGCTGGGCGGGACAGCGGAGGGACTGGCACGGACATGAAGAACTGCGCCGCCATACTCAGACTCGAGCTCATCGTGCGACGGGGGGACCGAGGAGACCGTTCGCTGGCGTCGAGTGCACAGACGACGACGTGAGGGCTCTTGGGAAGGTGCACATCGCGCTAAGCGACGAGGAGCGTTATATTTCCGTCAAACTGCGTCTGCACGCGCCGGCGGGTCGCACGGACTAGCCAAGGTGCGAGGCTCAGGCATTGGTTCGTCGACATCTGTTCAGAGAAAAAGACCTCCTCAGTGGCACAATGTTGGGCCTAGCCTCGGCCCCCATCCGATAGATGTTCATTATGCGCAACTGATGCTAACGGGAGCCATCGACCGCTGCGGAGGATATGGGCCTGCTTGCCGTCGCATCGAGCAATCGAACGTTTGTACTCGGCGAGGACCGCGCCGCATTGCTCTCAGACCGTCCGTGCGCCGCCCACTATCCATCGGCCCATCAATCCTGATGCGTGGCCTGCGTATGTACAAAATACATAATGGAAGCCTATAGCTAATCTCGACCTGAACCCCTTCGATCGTCCCTGCCCTCCGCTGGCAACGTCATGCTCTCGCGTCTCTTCGCGACCGATGTGGAAGCTTAACCACCGGCTCTATCTTCAGGCTTCAGGAAGTCGTGCAACGAGGCCTGCATGAGCCAGGGCTCGTCAAGCCGAAGCACCTTTGACGTCAAAGGAGAGCCCAGCGTCCCAGCATAGTATGTTTGTTTCGCTGACGGGATTGTCCAACTACACGATCCAGCAGCGGAGTTGCTTAGCCACTGCCCGGTGATCCCGGGCTCCAGGATTGCTTGACCAGATGTCTGTGACATCGTAGGATGAGCAGCGAGCTCTTGACGTCAAGATAGAGATTTCATGTATCACCGGCTAACGGACTGGTGTCTAGACTCGAAATAAAAGTGCCGCTGTGGTCGCACATCCTCCGATGGGGCAATTGGTGGGCTGAGGGCGACGGCAAACCTTGCAGTGGCATCGGTTCTGTATGCATCCGCTGGTGTGGGAGTCCTCGTAGATCGAGGTAATTAGGCTCGTTACAACCAACATCGGCAAGTCTCCCGGTTGCAAAACTATCGCATAGACTGCCCCCCTTGTAGAGCTTACGCTGCCAGAACGCGTGGATAACGACATCGACCCTAATGGTCCGGTAAAAGCTCCTTCGTCGACGATGCGAAGTCGCCGGAATGGATGGTCACCATGCGCGTCGTTTCGCGTGATCGTTTCATATCGGAGCCCTTGATAGAGCTTAGATAGAGCACTTCTATTCGGCTGCGACTACCACGAGGAGAAAGAGCGACGCCGGAGAAATGTCCCGGGTGTCTTATGCTATACTGATGCGACATGCAAGGAACACATGCCGGAACATCAAGATTTCATGAAAGGCAGGGACCATGGATCAAACTGCATATCCATGCGTAAGCAGATATGATCAACTAGGGCGGGCTCATCGCAGTTCAAACTGAGGCTGGAGGGAGATCCAGGATTTGTACAGAGGTCTCGTACCCATACGCCTCAACTCGCATCCCCACCACCGCAAATACTAGCATAGAGGGTCTGTCCAAAGCAATGATCCAGACGCCTGATCCGCAGTGGTGGGGGGCGTATTGAGACGAGTGAAGGATCATTGTAGGGTACTAGCAGCGGTGTCCCCGATCGTTCATTAGGCCTCAATGGCCGCCGTATCCAACAGAACTATGAGCAGGATCAGCCGGATGTCGTATAGAATGACCAAAATCAATGAGGGTTGGACGAGAGAAGCGTCTATTGCCACATCTCGGGGTTCTACTCAAGCATGAGGCGCAGGGGAAATCGACACAAGGCGTCTGCAAAAACCACTTTGCGTGCGCCTTTGCATGTCGTGTCCTCTCGAGTGCTTAGCACGGGTTCTTGGGCGTTCCTCATTGTAACGCACTTGTAATGACGGTCTTACCTACGCACGTTCGGAACTCACAGTAACCCCACAAGGGTATGGGACGTTGAGAAGAACTCAGCGAAGCGCGAGATCAGGTTCGCAGAAACACTGTTATCGAGGCCAGCGGGCTCGGGACGTTCCGTCGCTAGCGCCCTGAGCACAAACTTCGAGACACGTTCGCAGCGCGCAACGGCTTCGCAGTCGCTATTTGAACAGGATGACTGACAGAGGATATGGAGATCATGCAGATTATGTGGACGTACCTATTCATGCGCCTCGTTCCCTCCGCTGTCCCCGCAGGTCGGCCCTGAGTATCGGTACAAGGCCCGTGTTATACTCATATAAGCACCGTAGGGGGACAGGGGGAACGGGCGCACCGGATCCGACAGCTGTCCGACATAGCTATGCGTTTGTCACAGACGGGAAAACAGACCGGATCTTGGCCACATCACTGGTGGTTGACACGGCGCACGCATGACCGAACAGGGGAGCTCTGCAGGCCTGAGAGGCATCCCAGTCGGCCGAAGACTAGTGTGGTAGGTTCAGGGCGAGTGGTGGCACGACGCATCCCATATGTCGACCGGGGACGCGTCTGTGTGGGGAAGCCGCGCACGATGCGATCTCGGAGGGTGCGATTAATGGACCGCGGGGCCCTGGCAGCTTGTCAGCTTCTTGGGAACAGATGGCGGTCGTGCGAGGCTGCGAGCGATGCCCAATGAAGTGCGGGGAAAGGGGTTGCCGTAACTGTTTCGACGGTCAGCTGAGCGCGGCGGGGTAACGCGCAAGGCGGGTATAAGAGGCGCATTGGTGACGAATGTTGTCCTGTTTCGCACCGCCGCCGTAGCCGAGCTCAACCAGGGCAGAAAGAGAGTAGCGTCGTGGTCGTTGCAGTGCAAGAGGCCGTTGACGTCTTTGCAGAGGTTGCCGAGTAATCGGCAAGCGCTCCGACAGCCGATAGTGCATGCACCACCGTTAGATCGTCACTCTGCATCGCTCGACACTCGAGACTCTTCCTCCACCATCCACGTTCTTATCCTTATATCGCCCACCAACGCCGCCCCTTTCTCGACCCTTTGCCACTCGCAATCTCATTCTCTGATATCCGATACATCGTTTACGCTTATACCCCCATGGCGCCCACCCTCGCTCACCCAGCAGGAGTGAACTTCGTCGACGAGCACCATGCTCCAGTCCACACCGACGCTGCCCAGTACTATGGCGGTGAGGAGCGCTTCAGTCGCGGTCGGACGTACAGTGCGGTACGTACCATGCCCTGTCGCGACCGCCCGCCTTGACTCACCTTTGTTCGTCTTCGCCGCCTGCTTCCCCCTCCAGTCCTTCGCGCATGGGTACAACCCGAAACGCTTGCCCGCTTTCCAGGATGCCACACATCAACGCCCGCGCCGTATGTCTCATGACGAGAAGGGCTCTGCCCCGCGCCGGTTCCTTATCGACGTCGAAGAGACCATCCGCGTCGTCCTCGAGCAGGAGGACACCGACGGCGACTTCCAAATCTCCGTCACGGATGCCGGTCCGAAGCTGATGGCTCTCGGCACTGCGACGAGCAACGGTTTCAAAAGCTTTGACATCCGGGTGAGTATTCGATATACTGTCCCCTGGGTGTTATGACTTCCGTCCGCGCCGGACCTTGGGCTATGCTCGCGTTGTCGGGCTCCATTAGTATGAGCTGGTGTGGCTTGATTGTCTTGTCACTGCGAGACAGGAGAACGAGCGGACGTATTGCGGCGACACATCCGCTCTCCGCTGCGCTGCGGGGATGCGGATCTCGACGCGATTGACGCGTCTACGCGTCAATTAGTTATTTTGATTGACTTATTCGTCGACATGTCGACCTGGGCGCGGCACGTGGGCGCCCTCACATAACGGCAACATTGTCAAATAAACGCTAGGGGATTGATGTACTGACATGGTTGCTTTGTAGGGCACGTACATGTTGTCGAATCTCCTGCAAGAGCTGGCGCTTGCCCGGGATCATGGGAGGAAACGTATCGTCCTTGACGAGGCGCGCTTGACGGAGAACCCCGTTGACCGCCTGTCGCGAATGATCAAACATTCGTTCTGGAACGCCCTCACTCGTCGGATCGACGGTGAAGGTCTGGAAATTATCTGCGCGGACCCAAAGAACCGCACCGGCCGCGTCAACCCGCGCATATACGTGCCCCATGGCGAACCCGCTATGGCGGAGTATTACCGGAAGGTCACTAGAGAGAAGCCCCATCTTAACCTCGATGTGCAAGTCCTACCGCCCAAACCAGACGACCCAGTCTATGTCAAAAGTCTGAACAACAAGCCGGGCATTCTTGCTCTCGCAATGCAGGAGGTCCCTGATGGCAAGGACGGCAAGACCCTGAAGGGTATACCCTTCATTGTTCCCGGTGCTCGTTTCAACGAGGTAAGCCTCAGCGCGGCTCTCTTAGCCGCACGACGCTGAACCAGCAAAAGCTTTATAACTGGGACTCGTACTTCATCTCCCTCGGCCTGCTCGTCGACGGCTACGTGAACATGGCTAAGGGTATGGTCGACCATTTCATCTTTGAGATCAAGCACTACGGCAAGATCCTCAACGGCTCCCGCTCGTACTACCTCTGCCGGACCCAACCGCCTTTCCTCACCGACATGGCGCTCCAGATATACAACCAGCTCGACCGCTCCGACATGGATGAGAACCGTGTCTGGCTCAAGCGTGCTATCCAAGCCGCCATCAAGGAGTACCACACCATCTGGGTTGCAGAGCCACGCATGGATCCCAAGACCGGCCTCTCGCGCTTCCGACCCGACGGCATCGGCATTCCCCCAGAAACCGAAGCGACACACTTCACGCACATCCTCGAGCCGTACGCGGCCAAGCACGGACTGTCCGTGCTCGAGTTCAGCGAGAAGTACAACGACGGCGTGCTCAAGGAGCCCGAGCTCGACGAGTACTTCCTGCACGACCGCGCGGTGCGCGAGTCCGGGCACGACACGACGTACAGATTCGAGAAGCGGTGCGCGAACCTGGGCACGATCGACCTCCAGGCGCTCCTGTACAAGTACGAGGTCGACATCGGTACTGCAATTCGGGAGGTGTTCGACGACGAGCTTGAGCTCGACGAGGACTTCGCGCTCACGCCGTTCCCCCCTACGCCGGAGTCGTACGCAGACCCGAGCAAGTGGGAGCGGAGCAAGTCGCGGATGCAGAAGAGCGAGGAGTGGTTCGCGCGTGCGGAGTGGCGCAAGGGGATCATCGACAAATACTGCTGGAACGAGAGCAAGGCGCTGTACTTTGACTACGACACCGTGCAGGAGAAGCAGAGCTTGTACGAGAGCGTGACCGCGTTCTGGACGCTCTGGGCCGGCTGCGCGAGCGAGGAGCAGTGCTGGAAGCTCATGTGAGTGCTTGGCTTTCTGCTTCCGATTGGATGGGGGTGATTGGGTTGTTGCTTTGTATGGGCCGCGGTGCTGATTTCGACATGCTGTGCAGTTCGCAATCCCTGAAGAAGTTCGAAGTGATTGGGGGATTGGTTTCCGGTACGGAGGAATCTCGTGGAAAGATTTCGCTTGACCGGCCGAACCGTCAGTGGGACTATCCGTAAGTGTCGTCGCACGGTATCGTGCCAAGTCGAAATGCTAACACGTAAAACCATTTAGCTACGCTTGGTCAGTCACCCCTGACATTTGATTGCTAACGTACGTGACTGATAGTCAACACACAGGCCTCCACACCAGATCATGACTTGGGTCGGTCTTGAGCGGTATGGCTACCTTGAGGACGCCCAGCGGTTGGCATACAGGTGGCTGTACATGTATTTATCTTTAATGTTCCTCTGGATTCTGTCAATCGCTGATTGGGTTCGTACCATAGGATGACGACCGCCTTCGTCGACTTCAATGGTGTTGTCCCAGAGAAGTTCGACGCTGTCAAGCTTTCCCACCTCGTGGACGCCGAGTACGGCAACCAGGGCGTCGACTTCAAGATGGTTCCCAGGGAAGGCTTCGGCTGGATGAACGGTGCGTTCCTCCCTCCTTCCCTTCCTCTTGGCTTCCCTTCCCAAGAAGAGCTTGGCCTGACGCCCTTCCCAGCCGCGTACCAAGTCGGCCTGACATACCTTTCGACGGGAATGCGCCGCGCGGTCTCGGCGTGCACGAGCCCCGAAGTGTTCTTCGGCAGCTACCTCAACCCACAGCAGCAGGCGCAGGCGTACGCGACAGCGAACAACGACCCGCTCGGGTTGGCCATGGACAACCTCAACCTCTCGTCGCCTGTTATGTCGCCTACGTCGGTGACTGGTCAGGATGTTCCCGGGCACGACATGACGCGTTGAGCATGATCTCGTCTTTCTCGTTCACGATGGACTTCTCTGCGTTCCGCCGTGCCACTTGCTCCATCGCTTCGTCGCCCTCGTCCTCATCCTCACAAGCTCGACGGCGCCATCTAAAATAATTCAGCGGCTCTCCGCGCCTAATCATCCGTCTGGTGCGACGTCACCTCTTTTCTTGTTCTATGCTTTCACGATTATCTGTACCGAGTCCACATCACCTTGCTCTCGCTCTTCCCACTCTAATAACTCCTTGTAAAACCAACTTCAGCTCTCGCGCTCGCCTCTCTCTACCTTTATCGTGACATTCTGCACGGATTCTCACATCCTAGACGCAGCCCCCTACACGTCCATCCTCTAGTTGCATCGCTCCAAATAGCGCTTAGACGTTTCCGCTGCTCTTTAGGCTTTATTACGCCACGATACAGCCCATGTACAATAGCAATCGCATGAGTGACTCCTTGTCTTGTAGATATCTGACATACCTTCCGTCCTGGGCGAGTGTGTAGGCTCATCGACACTGCTAGCCGCCAATTCCTCACTAGCAGGCTTCACCGTCAACACCGGCACCACGTGCACCGGTACTTCAATGACTATCAAGGCTCAATCCAACGAGGCCTCAGGACGTCACGGCACTACCGCAGCACACTCGAACGGCACTTCGCTGCTACTTATAAGTACCTACAATGCCTGCAGCCGACTCCGAGTCGCTGCTGACCGCTCCCGTCCAGGCCGCATCTCTTGACCAGCCGTTCGCCCCGCAACGAACACCATGATGTGCGCTCCGTTTCATACAGGCACGCACGAGTCCGCTAGCCCGTGCGCACAGAGTCATCAGCCTGGACCCCGACCACGCACCCGGGCCCTACATCAACAACTTCGAGCTCGCCGACCTGCTACTCCCCGAGCACCTCCAGCTCCGGCTGGAGAAGACGCGGGGGTGGCAGCTCGCGCTCGCGAACTGGCCGGCGTACAAGTTCGGCGTCGAGCTGCTCCTGCGGTCGCTCGGGCTCATGCACGCCATCGACCCCGATAAGGGCAGTCGCGGCTGGAGCCCGGAGCAGTGGCGCAATGTCGACGAGCTCTGCAAGACTATCATCGCGCTCAACGTGAAGGATTTCGCGCCGCTGTTCGGGAGGGAAATGCAGAAGGCGTCGGCCGCGCAAATGTGGAAGTGGCTAGAGGTTCTGGATCATGACGGTATAATGGCGCCGCATATGCATATGTGGAATGATGCCCACACGAGTTGGATCCGTTTGGAGGAAGTGGAGGACAAGCCAGCGAGAGCTGGGTCGGGCTGGGGGGCCTTCGTCAACAAAACGGTCACTGTGGTGTGCTTGGTGGCGTTGTTCTACGCGCTGTTCTACGCGCCCCAGCTGCAGCAGAGATGCTGAAAAAGTTGCTTATTGCTCACCCCCAGTCTTTGCTGTAGCAATTTGATTGGCACATGTCATATATATGACGATGGAAGGATACGAGGGTATGCTACAATGATCCACATTGCCTCCATACAGCAGACGTCTATCATACATAAAGCACTTCAGGCCACATTATGGGCTTATGAGTTCGAGTTGAGGTTCTGCTGAGCCTGGCCCTTGTCGTGGCGGAGGTTGCCTACACAGGAATGTGTCAGCATCGGCGGTCTATCATACGCTCATCGAGCACAACTTACCAGCAGTCTCCTGCTGGCGGTCGCCAGTGACGGCGCCGACGACGGCGTCCTTCTTGCCCGAGAGACGGTCGGCGGTGCCCTCGACATAGCCCTTGGCCTGGGCGGCGTTGTACTCGGCCTCGCCCTGGGCGTGCTCTTCCTTGCCCGACTGGGTCCAGGACTGGGCGCCGGTGACGTTGCCGACGGCCTCGACGACGGTACCCTTCAGGGAGTGGTACTGGCCGGTGGTCTTGCTGCAAAGAGAGTGTAGAGGTTAGAGGCGTTGAGGACGAAGTCAATGAAGGGGTACGTACTTGGGCTCGCCGCTGTTGTTGGTGGTGGACATGATGGTGATTGATTTGTGTGGGTGATCGAAGAGATGAGTTGGGATATGATGGTGTGAGTTTGGATGGGGAAGCAAGGGCGCAAATGAGAGGGTTTATATAGAGCGAATCGACTTAGGCGCAGGGGAGGATGAGGAGAGTGACGTCATGGAGGAGGAGTGGCAGCGAGATGGGATCTAAAGCTATTAGCGTCATCGAATCAACGCCCGGCTATGCCCGCCCCCATCGTCATCCTGCAAAGTACGTCACTGGCTGCCACTATACCCACCTTCGGCCCATCTTTTGCTCCCTTTCCGGCTGCGTGTGTCTACCGAGCGCTGTCCAGTCCTTTCAGGTCCCATCCCGTCAAGCTCCGGATGATACCATCCTGCCACCCAATTCGTCCTCAGAAACACATGCGCAGTTTCCAGGCAGGTCCCACAGTGACGCAACTCTCTCCAATGTCTGTGCCTGCCGCACCGGCATATATAAACCTGTGCATATCCACCTCAGCCATCTCACAACCGACACTTGCAAACTCACCACATCACACTACCACTTCACGACCACTTAACGACCAACCATCATGTCTTACCAGGCTAACACCGACCAGCCCTCGTAAGTCTCGTCTCCCTGTCTCTGTCGTTAGCGGACAAAACTTGGCCTAACGTCCACCGCAGAAAGGCCACCGGCCAGTACCACTCGCTCAAAGGCACCGTCGTCGAGACCATCGGCGACCTCACCGGCGCCCAGTCCTGGACCCACTCGGGCAGGGAGGAGCACGCCCAGGGCGAGGCCGAGTACAACGCCGCCCAGGCCAAGGGCTACGTAGAGGGCGCCGCCGACCGCCTCGCGGGCAAGAAGGACGCCGTCGTCGGCGCCCTCACCGGCGACCGCCAGCAGGAGACTGCTGGTAAGTTTTGCTCGGTACAATTATATAGAACATCGACGCTGACACATTCTCTGTGTAGGCAACCTCCGCCACGATAAGGGACAGGCCCAGCAGGAGCTCAACAAGCCTAGTGCTTAAGCACGCCGATAGGCAGAGGGTGTATTGATAGGAATCATGAATTGACTGTACCCATTATACCCGCATTAGCATACGCCGCTAGTAATCCCGAATACTGGAGCATGTGCACGAGTACGTGCGACGTGCGTCGTCCGTCGCGAAGCGATTGGCATCTTCATACCCACGCACTTTGTGAGACGTACGCAACGGACACGTGAGCGGTGTCACCGGTACGACCGATCGCTGCTTGTCTCAACAGTGGCGCCGTAAAGCGCACTCCCGCTTAGGCCACGATCCTGAAGCGACTTACAGACAACGCGTTTCTTCTGCAACGAACGTCCGGAACCACACGCAGCGCATGCCAAAGCGTACGAACCGCAAACATATTTAAACCCGCAAGGGACCAGCCACCACAGGCACTCCCCATCCAAACCGTTCCACAGCGCCACTGAGCTCGCCCGACCCCACTGAGAAGTTTGTCCGTGAGGAGCGCTCACGGACAAACGGCTCCGTCGGGCCTCGCCCTGCTCGCGCTATGCTATGAGAAGAAGAAGGCGAAATGCACGCCACAGGGGGGATGAGGAACGGACCTGCGCGCCCCTACTGAGAAGTTTGTCCGTGAGGGATGCTCACAGACAAGCGACTCCGTAGGGACGCGCTCGGCCTGCACGCCCCATTTGCGCGCAAGTTGTCGTCGATAGGGGACGCACCGTGATGGTCGCGCTACGTCATCCTTGCGCGTCGGTACTGCCAGTGGAACCGTTGCACTCGCGTATTCGAGCGGGAGGTCTATATGGCTATCGATGTCGAGATGGCCAAGGTCGCTCGCGATTCAGAGAACACAAAGCTGGGTTGTGATATCCGCATCCAAATTCGTTAGCACATCGTACACATATGGAACAGGGCGGCAAAGGGATCACAGAGCGCATGAAGTTCGTCCATGGGGATCACCGGTCAAGCTACAGCTCAACAAAGTTGAGCACCCCGAGCAGCACGAGGCATACAGAATAAGCCGAGGTCATATAACCTGTAGTCGATGTCAGCTCTCGTAGGCCCCGGAGGCGATTCGGAGACTCACCAGCAATCGTGAACGCGCCAGACACGTCCTGCGCGACGACCGAGTAGAACACCGCCAGGAGGAGCGACGCGAGCACGGGGATGAGGACCGCGATGGCGATGCGCGTGAGCTGCCAGCCCTCGACAAACTCGATCCCGAGGTCGGTGCGCGCGGTGAGGACCTGCATGAACTCGTGTCGGCCCTTCAGGACCTCGGGGTGGCGCAGGAAGTATCGGAGGCGCATGTTTTTGGACGGGCTGACCGCTGCGGGGCCGAAGCGGCGGGGGTAGACGCAGGTGTGGTCTGCCTGGGAGTGTCGCAATCGAGATCGAGATTTCAGCATGTCGAAACGAAGGCAAGGCCCACACATAAAGGTACTTACATAGACCATGGAGATAGATCTGAGGGTAGACGTAGGGATATGAGTACTAATAGGGCACACGAAGCAAGCATGCGTACCGGACACTCCTCAGCGAGAACCACTTCCTCCAAATTGTCCGCAGCTCGTTATAGGAGCGACTCAGCTCCTTCAACAGCGCCGCGTCGTCCCAGTCTTTCGTAATCTTCAGATACTTATAGCTCGAGCCGCGGAACGCCTTCAGCGGGAACACCTCCCACTTCGGCTTCCAGTCACCCGAGAACTGCCTGACCGGCAATCCTGTAGCGTGCACCCGACTCGGGTACGCGCTGACTGGACGTATATTCGCATGGGTTTGAGCCTTGTCGTTGCCTGGTCCAGAATACGGGGGAGCCTGTGTAGTAGGTGTGGGATGAGCACCCTGCTGAAGCCAGCGGGCGACGTTCCGTTGCTGTTCCCCGTACATCTCCTTCTCGTCCACGATCTGCAAGCCGAAGTCCGACGTGGACGCCATATGCGGGTTTCGACGAATGAGCGCAAGATGCTTCTCAAGCGCCTGCGCGACACGGGCGAGATGCGCCCCATGCGCATTCCAGTCTCGGAGTCTCCGCTCGTGATAGTCCAGTAGCTGCTGGTACTGCGTCAATATCGGGGGCAAGTCTGGAGACCGCCGCACGGGTGAGCGGTACAGCACAGGTGGTGAGCGTGAGTATCTCTTAGGGCGCGACGGTGAACGACGCGCAGACACTTGGCTCCACCAATGTGTACGCAATGGCGGCGACTCTGAGAACCTTGGGCCGCGCGGTGACCGCGATACGGGCATGGGGCATGGCGATGGTGAGCGCCGCCGCGATCGGAAGCGCGCTCTACCCCGGGGCGACGGCGAACGTGACGCGTATCGGTGCGTCGCAGGCGATTGTGTATCCCTTCTTCGGCCCCATGGTGATCGAGAGGCGTACTCGCTTATCGGGGACGGTGATGGTAGTGGTACACGCACTGAGCCAGGCGATGGTGAACGAGACGCGTGTCGGTGTATGAGCAACAACGGTGGTCGTGAGCGCCGCCGTGCCGAGCTTGGAGTCATGATGACGGCGGATAGATGTCGTATAGGCCGGTCTGCGTGTGAGTCATGGGTACTGGGGCTGGAATGCAGGGACTCCTCTGGGAGCGCATAATCCAGGTGTAGTAAGCCGGATCCCGAACAAGATCTGTTAGCCCTCAACACGATGACCTAGCGACATGGAGAACGTACGCCTGTCGACCATGTCATCGTAAACGGGAGCTGACTCTCGGCGGCTTGGAGACGGCGTATAGCGAGACTTCCGCACGGGCGAGCTTCGCCGCGACGAGAGCGAACGCGGTCTGCTTTGGGAGCGTGGCGGCGATCGAGACACGCGCACTGAGCTCGGGCTGGTGCTCGGGCTGGGCCTTGGGGATACACATATTAACGGCGAAGTCACTGGCCTACCAGAGATGCCCACGCTTAGATAGCCAGGTGAAGGGGACGTATAATCCGCAGGAGGCGGCGTGCATGGGGTGCGCCAAATCGGCTCCGGTGGTGTTATAGATGGCTCCCTCGACTCCCACGGAGGAGAGGTACGTCGGGACGACGGCGAGCGAGTTGCGTTCATTGGCGATGGTACACGCTGCGGCGACCGTCCGCGCGCCTGTCCGACTGCTCTCGGGTCGCTTGAGGGCGGCGAGCCTGGCCGCAATGGCAATCTATCTCGCGATGACGATGAACGGAGTCTCAGAACGGGAGACGACCGTGACCGCAATACGCGCATTGGGCGAGGCGATGGTGAGGGCCGCCGTGAGCCTACCGGTACGACTGTGACCGTTTGATGCTCTGACCGCTCTGTCTGTGAAATTTGTGCGCTGGGAATCGGATGGATAGATTCCCTGGAGGACTCGGAGACACTTTCTGTGGGTGTAATCGCAAGAAGCACGCCTAGCACATTCATTAGCATTGAATAGTTTAACCCAGTGGCATGGTAGACATACGCCTCCTACGCCTGCGAACGTGGGATGCCTCTCGGCCCCTTCGCGAATACGCGATGCTTTCAGTAGGCCGACCCTGGACGGGTATCGCTTGTGAATACCGCCGTCTTGTAACGCGTGACACGAGAGACGGCGACGGCGACGGCGACCTGTCGCGTGATCTGGGGCTGCGTCTACTGCCTGTCTCTTCCGGCGACACGGATCGGCTCATGACTGTCGTTTGCATACGTTGAAAAGGTGTACCATGGCCATCAGGGTTTGGTCCATCAAGCGGGAGAAGGAAGGACATACGGAGCGGCGAGGGTGCCATAATGACGGGCTCTGGTTCCACCGCTGGAAAGCATTCTACATGACCGAAGGGGAAGAGGCGATCAGCGTGCTATTACATGAGTGCATGGCGATCAACATACGAATAGTAGCGCTTAGATGATGTGCAGGAGGTCCCGGGCCCGCGATTTCCTCGTTGAGCCCCGCATCGTGAAGTTGTAAAGCGGAAGTGTGAGACTTGTCGCTCACATGACCGCGGTCGTTTGATTTCGCAGGGCTGTGATCGCTTATAGTCTGCACACGATGTTCTAGCACGCAGACATCAATCGCACTCCCAGCTTGAGCTGCAAAACGATGGCCCCACTATTGTTGTCCTCGGGCAAAGACGACAATCGCTGTGGCAGTGCCCATAGAACGGAGACCTGACTTGATATCGTTCTCCCGGTATCTGAAATGTCTTCAGTGATCTGGGCACCAGACATCGGGATGAAAGCACATTACTGGATAAGGAGATTGACGAGGAGGAAGATCGAGCCGGCTCAGGATGTCTATGCTCAGCCTCATTGACCTCAACTGGTGTGCAAAGTTCTAAAAAAATGGGGTTCAATCAAGATTGAAGGAGTCGTTGGGCGACTGTCTGATGGAGTCGGAGGCACAACGTAATCCGCACTGGACGACGTACTTGGGGGTAGGATGACTGGGACTGAAACAATCGACGCCGGAATGCCCGGGGCTGGCAAGAATCCAAAAGGAGTTGGGTTTGTTGAGGCCATGGCGGGAGGCGGTGCTACACCCTGTGCAAAGGGTGCCAGATTCATATAGTCAACTACCAGTGAATATGGAGGCACCCGAAGTGAGCGAGTTTGCTAACAAGAGCGACTGGGCATACGTACCGTCTTTTTCCGGCGCAATATCTGGACGCGGGTAGATATTCTCGGTACGGGATACAGGCGCAGGAGGCTGGTAGAGGCCGGCTTCGAGATCGCCATGTCCTGCGGAACGTCGCTGGGCTAATTCCACGGCTTCTACCAGCCTTTGGAACTCAGCCTCCTCCTCCTCTTCGCGTATAAGTGAGTATCGATTCCCCATTGTGAGGGAGAAAAGTCCTGGAGCGGCCGCGGTGTCAACCCAAGGAGGGAGGCGTTTAGACTATGAAGTACCTATCTATAGCTTTGTATGTTTCTCAAGGCGCTGATACGTTTCGGAAACCGGTATTCCCACTGCGTGGCGTCTAGAAGATACAAGGACATCCGAATACGCCTCGTGGATCTGCGGTGGCCCTTTTATGATGCAAGCACGTCAAGTCCCGGATTTATAGTCAGCAGTCAATCGCACAGCCGTGGGCGATAGATCCCTTCTTGGACACTGCTGAATGTCATGGCCTAGCTTCAGAACGTATACTGTATCAAGCAGGACTTAGAGATACTGCAGAGCCATTGAGGACAAGCCGGTGTCTACTCTAGTTCGAACTCCGCTTCTTCGCCGCTTCAGGGAGTTCCGGCGATGTATGCGGTTCCCGAGGACGCATGTCCTTGCACTCGCGATGCCGGACTCTATATAAAGATTACCATGCCATTGCTCCTCACATCAGCTTCCTGCCCCATCCCTCGACCTGAAGTCCCTTGGGCACAAGGCGTTGCAAACTGAGCTTGAAGGAACCATGAAGCTGCTCAAGCGGATTTTCTCCAGTAACAGACCGCCGCTGGTTCACGTCAGCTGGAGCTCCCGCTCTGCACCGTTTGACAATAGTGACACCGAGGTATATCTCCTCCTATCGGGCACAAGACGAAACCTGATGTGTCCTATATCAACACCAGAGTATCATCAGAAAGGCATGTCGCCATTTCCGGCTTGGGCGTGTAGAGCACGAATACGTTTTAGTGACAAGCACTTCCGACGGCGGAAGGATTGAGGTCACGGATGACCTGTTGAAGCGCCTTCCTGATGGTTCACTGGTTGAACTAGTGAGAATTTCCGCATTCGAGAGTTTTGGCAGCGAGCGGGAGGGTCGCTTCGTTGAGAAACCTCTGCCTTCCCCGACCTATCCCAAGCGTGATGGGACGCCGTCTACAGCAAAATCATCCACGAGGTGAGAGCAACAATACAGAACGGCCATATTTTCCCTATCCAGCCATTCACCGAACCGGCTAGGTACAATCCTTCGCCCCAAAGCGTGCGCCCGCCAGTTTCACAGCCGTCTCACCACTCTCGTCCTTCTCAGTCTCATTCCAGGCCGCGGCCATCGCCATTGCCCAAGGCCTCGTCTCCCATCCCATTATCCCCTGAGTCCGAGGACAGCATACCTTCGTCTCCGTATGCCCCCACAGACTTCCCGAGTCGCTCCCGGACTCCGTCGGACAACACCCCATATATGGGGCCACGGTACCGCAAGCCTGTCATCTATTTGTTCCCGCCTGAGACAATGCCCGATGCAACTGTCTCCGTTCACTTGGTTCCCCAATGGACGTTCACCCACATATACCCTCTGGCAGACACGAAGCTCCTCGCTGACGGAAGACAGACTACCACCTGGTCGGTCTCCGCCAGCCCAGACGGGACCCTCGTCGAGAAGGGTACCGGGCTCGAGCTGTCCTACATCTTTTGGGAAGCTGCCCTTGAACGTGCCGCTCCCCCGAGCCCTCCTCTCAGTGCCGCGGACGCTCCAAGCATCGAGCACTTTGATCCGGCACACCCCTCGCTCAGCCCTGACACTCCCACAGTCGTGCTGCTACCATTTCAACAGCTCCTTCCTTACCTCGACGGCGTCCTGAAGGAGCTCATGCTGCATACGGCAGCACGCAACGACTTCATCACGTATTGGTTACCTTTGTTATCGAAGGAACCTTACGTCGCCCTCCGTTTTGTCCCTCAGCCTGCGTACGAACGCGCGGCCGAGCTCGTGATACAGCCCGCGCCGGACGTGATTACTCGTGTCATGATGCTCTTCCGTGGCGTGCCCGCCATTGAAGCTGACATGTGGTCTGCTGCGCGCGACCGTGTTGGCGAGGTGAGGTGGGCGACCGTCATTGGTGTCAAGCCTGAGGCAACGGACGAAAGCCTATTTAGGGTGCTGGAATGGGGTGCAATCGAGGTCTCCTAGAGCATGCTCAGCTGTCCACTTCTTCATGGACAATTACTTCTTGACGCATCAATAAACCCGCACTTCGGGTTCTCATTCAGATCATCCACGATCCTGACGTGATCCGTAACATGTACTCTAGTCTCACGAATCTCATGTTCATGCTGTCGGTTCCCATCGAACGTATACATCAAACGTAGCGGGATATAGAACCCAGAAACCGACATATTGTTAACTCTTGCGAGTACTGGTAAAACCAAATGAGTACAAGGCGGCTGTGCACCTCCTATAGACACTCACCACTTCCGTGAACCCCAGCGGATCCATCGCAAGCCTACACGGCGCTTGCCCAATACCATTAGAAGCATAGCACACATTCCTAGCGGCATGTGGTAGCGCTGCCTCCTTTGTGCCAAAGAATCGCTTTGGGTTTTCCCCACTCTGGGGGGACCAGGGAGAGAGAACCGGCAGCTGGAACCGTCGTGCGTTGCGTTCCGCCCAAGGGTTGAGATCAAATACGGTGACCGGCCGCTCGGAGCCCTGTACCGCGACCTAGGAGCCGTATGCATAGCAGTGGTGGACGCTCCATCTATGCAAGATCGACTCTGCCCGTGGGATGTGGACGAGCAGGGCCCCGCGAGGGATCCAGTCCTTCCATGCGATTGAATACTCGTAGGGCGCACGGTGCGGAGGGTTCTGCTTGGGGGACACAGCGACCGACAACGCGTCGCGGAACGTCTGGTACGGGATCAGCAGCGCAACCTCTTTCACGAACCTGACCACCACAACTCGGAGATCAGGGTTCGTCCAGAACGGCTGAGGGTCTGATGAAGGAGGCGAAGGGATGCTCCATGCCTGGATCGAGACGAGCGTGTGGGCAGGAGGGACCTTGAGCAATAGGCCGAGCGGCCACTCTTCCTGGCGCTGTGGTCATAAGCATTCAACGCAGAGGTGCTGCCCCGCAAGGCGCACGTGGACTATATGTGCATCGTCACTCAGGGTGAAGGAGTCCTCGGGGTTTTGCGGAGAATGCTGGAACACAGCGTCATCACTCTCGTCAGCCGAGAGTAGGGCTCTGCAATTGTGAGAATCGACTGACATATATTCGCCGTCCTTCTGTCCAGTCCCATATTTCGACATCGCTGGGGTCTGCGACATCGACACCGACGACCACCTTCCAAGCAATAATATTGTTGTGGATTTGAACATCGCACGATTTCATAGAGAGTGGTGTCGGCCGCTCGTGGTCCCAGGTGAAAGGGTACAAGTCCTCCGTCGTCGTGATTGGCAGCGTCGGCTGTAGTGCGCAGGGATGCGGTCGTTCCGCATCGTCCAAAGAGCGCAGATATACAGTGATCTGTCTAGACGCACTTCATTAACACCTCAGCTGAAGATTTTGCCTTTCAACGTCAGGACGTGCCGGGTATCTTCACCATGAACAGCAACGAGGAGGAGGTCCTGCGATACGTCGGCCGAGGCGCACAGTATCTCCCGATCCACATCTTCCATAAACGCATCGTACGGCACGACCCAGTCTCGCATCTCGCGCAGTCCCGTGAACAATGGCGGCGCAGAGATGCTGATCTCTCTTTGCGCGGGCTTGACGACGATGTACGAGATGGTCCCTCCAAAGCCCAGAAAGAACTTCCACCGCGTTCCGGTTCTCGGCCATAGCTGCCAGGAGTACTTGAATTCGGAGGAGGTGAAGTACAGGGCGTGGTACTTCTTGCTGTACTCTCGTAGGAGTTGCAGTCGCTCGACCACGCTCATGGGGTAGCTCTGCGGGCCATCGATCATGCCACTGAGTGCGAGTTCTATCTTGTATTGGAGATAGATGTCGCCGTCCATCAGACGTTGGAAACGGCGGCAAACCTAGTGTGAGCGTGAGAAGTGTATGCGTCAACTTATGTGGAGGTTGATTAACTCACCCGCTTGCATGCGATGACCGCATCTAATTCACTGGAAAGGAAGATACGGACCAAGATATCCTCCGGAAGAGAGCAGAAACTCTCCAACGAAGTCGTTGAAGACATGGCCCGTCTGCGCGTAGGAAAGGAGTAGTGTCACAATACAGTTTTAGAATGCGTTTGTACACACATAGCGGGATTAAGATAGGAAAGTAGAGGACTGAGGAGAGAGACCTACTAATGGGAACGAAGTCACCTTCAAGTTCAAGCTTGGACTTCAATTAGGCGCCACTGCGTTCAAGTCTGCCGACGACACTGGCGCCCAACGGTCTGGTATTCATCCTTGCCCTTGGGGAAGTCAATTCTACCAAGAAAGTGGCCATGAATCCTATTTGGACGACACACAGAATCGAGACATTCAATAAACTTCTTCGGAAACTTCACAGTCCATCAGAACTTCGTTCAGACATACATAAGTACAAGCACATAGCATCGTCACGCGTCGTCGTCGTCGTCAACGCAACTGCAGTAATAGAACACAACAAATCCAGGACATCGAAAGCGGAATGAAACATATGAGAAAGACGAAGCATGCGCATATATTGAAGATTGTCACGCCGTCGTCCATTCGTGTGCGCAAAAGTCTATCGCCTCGGGAAGCGCACCACCCTCAGTTGAACATAGGAGTGACCTTCCTGCTCTGCGGTTGGGCCCGTTCGCGCTCGCGGTCGACCGAGGTCCTGCTCGGCGCTCCGCCGTGCCCTGACGGGTATACGAGCTGCTGTGGCGCTGCGTATCCAGCGAAACCCGCCGGGGGTGCTCCACGCTTTGTCGGCGTAGTCGGCATGCTCCGCGAGGGTGGCGTCCGGGGAGGGATGACGGGTGCGGAGGGGATGACGGGCTGCTTGCGCATCGCTGTGGGGGGCTGGCCGATCATGCGCGAGAGCGACCAGGGCACGTCGATTCCGGATAGCCCGGCGAAAGCGACGTACCGCGCGATCTCGAGGTGAAGCGTCGGATAATAGGTGGTCGACGCCTTGCGCGCGATCTGGCGGAACGTACGCGGTGAATATAAGCGTTCCGGGACGCATATAGTTGTGGGGAGGGACGTACCGAGAGGATGCGCTCAATCCCAGACAGGAACATGTCCTGGTGGAAGCGGTATGCTGAGTGTTCGTGCTCCTTCGGCAGGTTGAGTGCACGGACGTGGCTCGCGATGGCGTTGACGAACTTGAAGTGCATCGTCTACATACAACACATCAGAACATCGCCGAACATGACACTCTCAACGCCGGACTCACCATGTAGCACATCGCCTCGAACTCAACGCCCCCTGTCATACCGCCAGGCGCACGAGGCTTCTCCACCTTCGCCTCGTCAGTCTCGCTCAGTTCCCAGATCGCATTGCTGGGATGGCAAAAGACCCAAAAGTAGTCTCTGCAGAGGTCGCTAAGCTCCTGCAGGTAAGTCTTGTAAACGCGTGGCCGATGCAGTTCCTCGATGAACTCATGCGGCTGGATGGGCGTGGCGGGGGCTTCGCTAGGGGGTGGCGCGGGCGTGAGTAGCAAAGCCTTGATGAAGGAGAAGAGGGTAGAGTGTGGACGTGGAAGCACGACCAGATTGCTTGTGGAACTCATGGCGGTTGCCGAGAGTTCCCAAGGAATAGACCGTGAGCGAGAGTGTGCGAGCCCTGCTCCAGGGCTGCCTGTTGATGGGAGGGAGGAAGGGGGGTATAGGTCGAACAGATTCAGCAGCAGCTCTACGATAAGCTGCCTTGTTGGGACATCACCGGGCTTCTTGTCCGAGTAGAGAAGCCTGACAAGCTTGTCGAACGGTGCTGGGCACTGGGCCCGAAGAGCCGCGCAGCCGACTGCCGAGGTGGACAATGCCTTTACGCAGCGCAACAGTTCGAAAAGCATCTGATCGTCGTGCTGCTCTTCTCTGGTCACGCAATGAGCACTTGGGACACAGCATGCACGATCATAGTAAGCCACCTACCGCCACTCCACATCAAGGATCTCGTTTAGTCGGGTGAGGATGGCATCGTAGCCACCATGCTGAAGGAAAGCCTCCGTCCAACTGCAGTCCTGTCAGCTCATGCGAATACTACGTAAAGATACAACCGACCTCGCGGACTCGTTCCGGAGCAGAAGGCGGAGCTTCTTCACAACCTCGATGTCCATGCTCGTGCTGGACTCCGCCAAGAGGATCTTGACATATTTTTCCGGCGTGGTCGCAACCGATTTCTTCTTGTCCTTCGACACCTTAAGCGGAGCAACAGGTGCTGGCCTCGGGTCGAGTGCTTGCCGGCGTATGTCCAGAGACTTGCCGCGAGAGTGGCCAGTACCGAGGGCCATAGGAGCGATAGGCGATTCCGTAAGATCGTACTCCTCAAGAGTCGGCTTCTGGGGGCGAGGTGAGGAGAGTACCGATTCGCTACTTTGTGCGCGTCGGAGAGTACGGGGCGTGAAAGGTGTAGGCGCAGGCTTCATCTGCGCGAGGACGTGTGACGACTTCAAGAAGGCGGCCTTGACCGTAGGGTCCATGGTAGCCAGCTTTGGCCGGAGAGTCGAGGGAATTTGAAGTTCGTCCTGAGTGTGTAGGATGTCAGCAACATGTTGTCTCAATTCCTGGCGCTGGGACGAGTGGCTCCAGTGTGCAGTGAAGATCCGCCGACACCCGGCGTATGCTTGGATTACAGCAACTGCAGTGTGACGGCAGCAAGGATTGTTCACTCGACAAGACGGATACATGCGTACATCCATCTCACATAGGTATAGCTCAAGCGAAGGGGAGAAGCGAAGGGGAGGCTCACCAGCAGTTTGTCGAAGTCCTGGGGTGCCTCTGATTCGGGCTGCGCCTTGCCCTTCATCTTCTTTCGCTTGTCGGCCTTAGGTTTCGCGTTGTTGGTCGTGTTGGTGTCGTAAGCGTTTGCGAAGTAGTTCTCTTTACCGGTAGCGTCCGATTCAGTAGAGTCTATTGGCGAGGTGAGCATCTGAAAGTCGGAGGACGGGATGCGCCTTGAAGGAAGGATGCTTTTGAACATGGTTGGTGTCGCCAAGAGGAGGCTCAAGAGAAAGGAAAGGAATGAATAGCTCGGAGGAAGGACAAAGGGAGGTGGTCGACAAAGCAGGAACCTGGCAAGAGACGGACGCCCGAACTCGAACTTGAACCGCGTGGCCATAGACGCCCTCGTTCTCGACGCGACTTGTCACGTGCCCGTGTCTCATTACTAGGTACTACTGCGGCTCGGAGCCCGCTGTTCTCTCTCTCCTCTCAACCCGGCGCAACCGTGGCAACTTGCTACTCATTAAGATACACAGATTTTTTAAGCTTTTTTTTTTCAAAAGGACGTCATGCAACATTAGTGCTCACTGTTCTCATAGACACTACAGCGGAAACAGCTGCCTGAGCTCAGTACCGTCGCCCAACTTAGCCTGCTGCCAAGGCCTGAGTGGGAAAGAAGCTTGTCAGATGTGGGGTTATCAGAATTCGTTGAATGGCGGTCATAAGAACAGTACTCACGTCACCACAGCCATTCTATGCACGCTATACTCGGGCAGGACGGAAAACGATGGTATTGGGCGCGCGCTACGGAAGCTGCGCGGGACCACCGAGTCCGTGTCGCCACCGCTCTCTCGCGCGACCGGTGGGCCGAGCTCAAGCCGGCGGAAGGCGAATGTACCTGATACATGAGACGTAGCTAAGCGAGACCAAAAATGGGGCAGCGGAAGGGTGGGTGCAAAAACGAAAGCTCGAGGAGCGCGAGCTCCCGAAGGGCGAGGGGACGAGGATCCTGGGCTGCGAGCCCTTAACCTATATACTACTAGAGACAAAGCAGATGTAAAGCGGCGAGGGGGTGGCACGAGTTACGCTGTCATAGACCCTGGACAATAATCATTGTCCAAAACATCTATGCACGCTATACTCGGGCAGGACGGAAAACGATGGTATTGGGCGCGCGCTACGGAAGCTGCGCGGGACCACCGAGTCCGTGTCGCCACCGCTCTCTCGCGCGACCGGTGGGCCGAGCTCAAGCCAGGAAGGAGAGTGAAGCGGAGAGCCGGAGGCTCGGGAGGCTGAGCGTGAGGATCGGCCCAAAGGGAAGTGATTGCACCCAAACGGGGGCCGGCACCGGGGCCGGGCCCAAGGAGGAGTGATGGCGAGCGGATTCATCGAGGGAGGGCGGGCCGGCCCGAGGAGAAGGGATGGAGTGAGCATGATGCGGCCGGGCGGGGGGCCGGGTTGGGGAGGAAGCAGTGAGCGGATCACCGCGTAAGAGGCCCCGGAGGGCAGGCGGAACGACGAGAGGGCGCAGCGAGCTGCCCGGAGGAGTGGCGAGTGGCGAGGGCACGGATGCCCGGAGGGGTGGCGAGCGGATCGCCGAAGAAAGGAGCTGGTGGTCCCCATTGGGCAACACCGTGAACGACGTGGTGTGCACCAACCAGCGGGCAAAAAACGAAAGCTCGAGGAGCGCGAGCTCCCGAAGGGCGAGGGGACGAGGATCCTGGGCTGCGAGCCCTTAACCTATATACTACTAGAGACAAAGCAGATGTAAAGCGGCGAGGGGGTGGCACGAGTTACGCTGTCATAGACCCTGGACAATAATCATTGTCCAAAACACATTTATATTGAATTTGGCCTCTTTGGCAAGCCCCGGACGCTTCTGCGACCCCTTGCCCCCGCACCTGTACTAGCTACTGGAAGTCTGGGTCCGACGGCGGTGTCCAGAGCTGAGGCTGTCACTGCGTCCATCTTCGTTGCGGCTTCCTTTTCACATGAGGGCAGTGTACTAGAGTGCATTACAACCGTCCAAGCTCGCAACGTGACTATATGAACACTCTACCCGCACTCGACCAAGATCCTGCCAAGGACGTCGTTGCAGCTCGCCGTATGCGATGTCCGCCTATCCTCGTATCCGCATGCCCTCCCACTCCTCTGCTGCAGCGCCACGAAAGACGTCACAGGTTACAATGAACCCGGTTTTCAGGTTACATGCGCATGGCTGATAGCCAACTTTTAGGTGGACCGTGATGAGCACCCCGTAGATTGGTCCTACTATTCCCATCTCATGAAGGACCACGACGAAGCAATGGTCCAAAACTGGAAGGAAGAAGTCGATACCTTACTAGTCTTTGTGTGTTGCTAGCACCTCACATCTGAACAGCGATCGATCCTGACTAGGGATAACTAGGCTGGTTTGTTCTCGGCGGTCGTCACGGCTTTCAACATAGAGGCGTACAAGCTTCTCCAGCCAGACCCATCGCTATCCACGATACAAGCCTTGGAGACAATCTCGCATCAGCTCCAACAACTTGGTGGCAACTTTACGTCTGCCGCGGTACCGCGTCCTACGTCGGGTCCCACCCAGGGCCGTGCCTCTGCCCAGAGCGTGCGTATCAACGTACTTTGGTTTACCAGTCTTGTGTGCGCGCTCTTCTCCGCCCTCCTGGGAATCATGGTCAAGCAATGGCTTCGCGAATACATGGCTGCCGTATCCCTCTCCTCCCGCGACAGCGTCCGATTGCGGCAGCATCGTTTCGAGGGACTGATCGCATGGCATGTCCCGGAGATCATGGCGTTCCTTCCCATCCTGCTCGAGGCATCCTTGATATTATTCCTAGCCGGACTCGTCGACTTCCTGTTCTTGCTGCAGCCACTCGTCGCCGGTATTATCACGTCCCTCGTTGGGGCCGTCTTGCTCTTCTATGTCGTTAGCACCATCGCGCCCGCATTCTCCGGCCGCTGCCCTTATAAATCCCCGCAGTCCTGGGCAATAATCCGGGTACAGAGGAAGCTCACCAGATCGGTTCGTAGACTATGGGCAATGTTCCGTCCTCAGCACACCCCTGAACTACCAACAATTTGGCTCTCACGCAAGCCGACGTTCGACAATTGGGGCGAGCGTGACAGCGGTGAGGTGCAGACCTGTCAGGACGAACTCGACCTCCAAGCCATGACATGGATCCACACCACGTACATCGACCATGCCGACGCGCAGGACTCTCTGATCGCCGTCATCCCGGAACTCAGCGCGTACAACGCCAGTGCCCTCGTGTTTAGGACCATCGCGCGAAAGTTACACCTCTCTGCGGCCGCCCTGATATCGAAAGTACGTTCGCGCTCCTGCGGTGAGCTATTGCGGGACGCGGGGGCGAACATGGACGCGGAGACGAGGACGCGGACAGTTAACATGCTGCTGAAGCTTCTTCGCCACCTCCCACGCGACCACGACCCATCCATCATCAGTCCGATGGACGTACTCTGGAGTCTCTGGGAGCTTGCTGTCGGGGCCAGCGCGGCCGAGGAGAAGCTTCCGGCGCTGGTTCGGTCGGTATTGGACGGCGTGGCCGGTTTGGTGAACAAGAGCGAACCGTTCCGCTTACGCCGCGCCGCGCTCAATCTGCTGCACGAAGGTGGGCTGGCGTGGACGTACTCCTACAATCCCACAGGTTTGTCAACATCCTCGACTCGAGATGGACCCCCTTCTTACCTTCGAACGCACATGTAGCGATTGGCGGCATCATGTCGTTCGCCAAGGATTGCTACCAACATGATATTCCCGACTTGTTCATGAAGGCGTGCGTCGTGGCCCTGCTTCCGCACTGGTTCGACTGGAAGGAAGGAGAGCCCGAGCCATACCACCGGCAGCAGCTTCAGGAGCTCCTTCGCGACTTGACCAGGACCCTTCGGAGAAGCAACGAAGAAGGCACGGGATACGATGTGCCCAGCGCGAGCAGGCTGGTGTCAGGCCTCGCTGCCCTTGCCGAGAAGGATCCTGACCTCGTTGAGCCCGCGCTGCCGGAGGTGCTGCTGGAAAGCTTGGAACTTGGCTTCTTGGGCCTGTCGGGGCAAGAACATGTCCTGCTACAAGATATGCTTGAATCGACCCGTTCTCAACATCATACTACACAGCGAACGGAAACTCAACCCCCAGCACATCTCCTCAATGGTGAGGCTATACGCTGAATAGAACTCGGACAAGACAGGTACGCACTTTTGATGGCTCTTACAGCCCGTCATGAATTTCGTCGACCTTCGGGAGAGTCTAGACTCCGAATGCAAAGGGCGACAATTGGCAGTACCGTACCTTGTCCCGCTCGCGTGCCAAGTGGGAGGGCTGAGGACACCATGATCGGACGACTTGTGGCGCTGTCCGATGGCCAGGTTCGCGTGATCGCGAGTGTAGAGCCGGTACATTCTTGACCACATGTTCTGTACAACGTCCCATATACGGTTTCCATTGATAGCTGCTTCGATGGTCTTGTGTCTGCCTGCGCCGTGAAGCTGTACACATACGTACATGTAGACAAGGGCAATCATATGCGATACATCCCACCTTGCCTGAACCACGCGCGCAGTCTGCTATCGACGCAGCCCATCATCGTACGCAAGATACATCCGTGCCAGTAGAACATTGGATCACAGTGAGTCGAGCGAGATGAAATGGGAGTTCGGGGCGCTGCCGGCTAAGGACTGGTCCGTCGTCGAGTTCAGAATCACAGCAACAGCCCAGGTGAGCAGAACGGGGCTCCACGGAAGCATTCGCCAATCTCGCTCTGTCCCGAGACAAACTCGAGCTCCATTTCGACTCCAATTCCCCCGCCCTTGCCCCGCCGTCGTGTTCACGCTCGATCTCTCTCCGCCCGTCGCTGCCGGTATCGCCGTCGCCGCCGCACTAGTCAGAGAACACTGGGCACAGCGACCGCTGCAGGACTGCTGTTCGGGCGCTGACGTCTGTGGCAAGCCCGCGCCTACGCCTCGATCGCCCACCGTTCCCCGTTCTCCGCCCTGGCCTCTCGGACCCCCCGCCGCAGACCGTTCTTCGGCCTCCTCGCGCGGGGCCATCGCCGCCGATCCAACACCCTCGACAACCCCACTCGCCCCTTCGGCCTCAGCTTCGGCCTCGGAGGAGGAGAGAGAGGCGCAGCGGGAGCCCACGCAGCAGCACCAGCACCAGCAGCGGCACCAGCAGCACCACCCGGATCATCTCCAGCAACAGGAGCAGGAGCAGCCTCAGCCCTCGCGCGCGCGCCTCACACCCAAAGTCACGCCCAGACGCAGACGGCCACCAAGCCTGGGACGAATCACTCTCCGGCGGACACGGGCACGGGCACAGCGCACGACCACGAGCCCCAGCCTGCGAGCAGCCCCTCTCCCGCCTCTCCGTCGCTGCCCGCCCCCATGACGACCGCCCACGCCCCGCACACGAACCCCCAGGCGCAGACACAGGAGCCCGCGGCGCTGGCGATGACGAAGGCGGGCCTCAAGTCGTGGTGGAACAGCTTTACGTTCGCGCAGCGGGCGAAGAAGGAGGCGGAGGAGAAGAAGGCGGCCGGGGGCGCGGAGCCGCAGAACGTCGTGTTCGGGAAACCGCTCAAGGAGAGCCTCAAGTACGCGAGCGTGCAGATCTCGACCGCGAATGCGAACGGGGAGCTGTATGTGTGGGGGTACATACCCGTCGTGGTTGCGAAATGGTGCGTCGTGCGATGTACCTCGGCCTCTCTATCACTTCCCTGACTCCTAATCTAGTGGGTTGTATCTCAAGGAGAATGGTGTGTCCGAATGACTGTCTTTCGTTGGATGTGCGGCTGAGCGGGTGATAGCGACGGAAGTGGAGGGTACTTTTCGTGTAAGTGGGTCAAATAAACGGATGAAGGAGTTGCAGGCCGCTTTCGAGACTCCTCCACGGGTGCGTCCTATTCTCGAGCATCTACTGAATGGCTCTGCTCAATGGCATGCACTGTCCGACTCCCTGCTCTCCCTGCAACACACATTCTCGCGCCCCTCATCCCACGGCTCCTCTCAATTGCTGCGAGTAGTATGGGAAGGACCTGGAATGGACAAAGGAGCAATTCACCACACACGACGTTGCAAGTGTGTTCCGACGATACCTCACTCAGATGCCCGTACGTCTTGACACCCTCTATACATGCCGTCCTACTGACACCCCGCAGGAACCTGTGATACCCCACGACATGTACCATCTAGTGAGTGCTCCATCCTATGCTGTTCCATCGTCCTGGTGTAGTAACGCCCCTCTCGCAGTTCCGTGATGCTCTCGGTAAGCCGAACCGCGTGCTGTCGACGAGACGACTCGCGGGCTGACCTGCGCGCTACAGCGAAGAAACCTCGCAACGAGGACGAAGTCATCGCAACATACAAGCGGCTGATACGCTCAATGCCCCGCGCGAACCAGTATCTGCTCCTCTACGTGCTGGACCTTCTGTCCGTGTTCGCGAGGAAATCGGATAAGAACCTGATGACGGCCAAGAGTACGTCCTCGCCCCCACTTTTTTCGAGGGCCGCGTCGCTCATCCGCCGGCGCTCTCATCTCGCAGATCTAGCGGTGATCTTCCGGCCGGCCCTTATCGCGCACCCGAGCCACGAGATGTCGCCGCAGGAGCACCAGCTCAGCCAGGACGTGTTGGAGTTCCTGATCAAGCACCAGGACTGGTTCATGCTCGACATCCCACCACCGCCAACAACAAAACCGTCGGACAGCGCGGTGACGGTGCCGATGAAGGAACCCGTCGCGGACATCCTTGCAAGCTCAGATGAAGAATCGGGCGGCTGGAAGCTGATCAGCAGGGACGCAGTACCGAAGAAGATTGGGCGGCGGAGAACGACGACAGAGCGCTCGGGAGGTAAGTTGTGTTTTCTCCTCGATTGCGCGCGCATACAGTCACCAACTCGTGCTCGCGAACGCCGCAGAGAAATCGCCAGCAGAAACGGGGCAGCTGTCGCCCGTGGTCGAGGCGCCGCCGTCGCGGTCGAACTCCGTGGTCACGGTGACCCGGTCGCGGACGCTGCCCTCGTCGAAGTCGGGGCGACTACCGGAGGAGGAGCGGCACGCGAAGCTGGTCAAGAAGCAGAAGCGCGCGTCGGTGCAGCCAGGGCGGACGGCCAGCGGGGGCGCGAACGCCGGGTGACGGCGCGCGTGCAGCGTCTTACGCCATGCACGCCGTCGCTCCTGCCTCGCCTCGCGCTTCGTGTCTTCGTCTGGGCTCGCTCGTCTCCGCTGATCGCTCGTCTTGGTCTCGGTCTTCGTTTTCGTCTCCGTCTCCGTCCTCATCGTCACTACACTCGCTATACCACCGTACATGTACTACCCCCCACGTTTTCTTTGCTGCTACCTCCAGGTCACGCTTCGTGCATTCGTCAGATTTACATAGGTGGCGGCAGACGGCCTCTGCTCACGATTGTGTTATGATATATGTTGTTGTTGCGATAGCTGTCTACTCCATCGGCCTCTCATACGGCCGCCCCGTCTCTCCAGCCGCGTTTTGATCAGCTTGAGCCTCAGGCTCTTTCCTACCCTGCGTACGTACGTACAAACCCGCGACCCCGTCTGCCTCCCCCACGCGTCGCCGACTGTCCTTCCGCCTCCGTCTGGCTGCATTCGTCTCCCTCTCTCTCCATCGCCCATGCGCTCCTCCTCTCTCCTCGCCTGTTGTCGACGCGGACACTAAGTATAATCGGTCAAGGGCGCACACTGTACAGAGCTCGGTCCTCGGACGGTATTTCTAGTGCAAGCTATAATGGTTTTTGGGTGCTGAACCCGTTGCGCCCGTGTTGGGAATTCGAATTCATCATGTCACTGCAGTGAGCACCATTGGACCGCACGCGTTCTGCCGTCTGGTCTGCCGTGCGTCCGTACTTATGTCGTGCCATCGTCATGTCGACCGGGGGGGGGGACAGAGGATGTGGACATGTTCCTGGTCCGCAGTTGGTGGCTTTGGCGTGGCTGGCGCTTTGAGCGGATCCGAGAATATGGAGGCCGAAGCTCGGACGAGGCGCTTCCTCTAGAGGCTAGCGGCGACAGCACGGAAGCGGCCGGAGAGCCGGGCCGAGCACCGAAGTAGAAATGCGCCGCTGAAGGGGCTGCTAGACGGAGGCAGAGGTGTGCGGGTCAAGACTCGACCCCTTGACCCTCTCGGCTTGACCCCGGGGTCTGACTCGGGGTCTGACCTTTTCGAGGGGTTAACACGTGATGCACGGTCGGCCCTCGCGTAGAATAGTCGACCGCGTACTACCGGGAGCGCCGGAAGGGTGAAAGTGCCCAGCTGGCAGCTTGAGCGCAAGGCGGACTCATATGCCACATTGACGACGGGATATGCTAACTATAGATGTCGTTTGTATATATTCGCTCGTCCTGACTGCTCCTACAGACGTAGAGGTCGGATAATGCATCTATGCTAAACCTTACACCTCTCCGAGTCCTCGCTGGTTTCCCGGACAGTACTCCTCTGGGTCGGCATCCATCACCACCATGGCAAGTCCCTCGCAGCGTTCCTGAAGGCCATTGGTTTCACCCTCTCGCTTATGGATGGCCGAGACGTTGCCAGTGGGCAGTTGGAAAGAACAGTTCGTGGCCGCTACAGGCGAGCTCGCTCGAGCAGTGAGTGGCGAACGGCCGGCCGACCCGGCGGTTCACGTGCCCGGAAGCTCCGACGTTGATGTTGCCTTGGCTTGACCCAGGGTCTGACCCCAAGGGGTCTGACCTGGGTCAAGGAGGGGTCTGACCCGAGTCTGACCCAGCCGAGCACATGTCTGGACGGAGGTGTCCGGGCACTTGCGCTCGCAGGTCATCGCCCTGTCCAAAGAGCGTTGTGCATGCCTGGCCGCGCGCCTCACACGCTCTTGCCCACGACACTCCTACCACCGACACGCCCACGGGCCTCACTGACCGCCCCCTGAACGACGACTGACGAGCGCGCCCTCGCCACTGACAGAAAGTACTGACGACCAACTGACGACCGAACAAGACTAGAAATAGCACGACATGCCGTCCGTGAGCCGGGACGATCTCGCCCTCAATCCTGGCCCCGGATACTCCTACTTGCCCGTGCGTCCATCTCGCTCTCATATTCTCCCCTCACAACCCCCACTCGTTTGTTCCACTCGTTTGTTCCGTTCGTAAACTGACATCCTGCTGCGCAGCCGCCCCACCGCCTATCCAGCCTAGACGACCCGTACGCCCTCACACTCTCTTCTACCAGCACCCCCAGACACAGCGCCGCCGCGAGCGACGCCAGCCTTGCGCATTCGCCCAGCCCGCCTTTGGTTTCCTCTCAGGACTACCCCCGCGTAGAGCACACAGACCCGTTCTCCGAGAACCCAGCCATGCCTCTCAACAACCCCGCGTACAGCTACAGCGGCCAACAGGGCTACTCCAACGTCGACGCCCCGTACTCCAACCACGCTTTCAGCAGCAGCACTTGGCTCGAGAAGGAGCAGAGCAGGAATAGGCGGTCCAAGTGGCTCGTAAGTCCCAATTCCCTCCCTTGCTCCTCGAGACGCTCAACTCACGCGTCCTCTATGGCAGCTCATCGGCGGTCTCGTCGGGCTGATTGCTCTGATCGCCATCGGCGTCGGGGTAGGTGTTAGCGTCGCCAAGAGCCACAGCTCCAGCAGCAGCAGCAAGAAGAGCTCCGGCTCGTCGACCTCGGTGGTTAACCAGACCGACCCCAACGACCCCAGCACCTTCCAGCTCGACTCGAGGCTCAAGAAGTCGTTCTACGGCATCGCGTACACGCCAGAGGGCTCGCAGCTGCCCGACTGCGGCAACTCGCTCGGTACGTTTAGCCACTCCGTGTTAATGTTGCGCACGATGCTCACCCTACCACTACTCACGTCGGCAGAGGACGTCATTACGGATATCCAGGTACCTCTCCAGTCGCTGGCCCTCGTCATTGTGTGATTTGGACTGATCGCAGTGATCCCCACTTCCGCGCAGCTTCTCTCGCAGCTCACTGATGTGCGTTCTCACTATCCCCGTATGCCGAGGGCGCTTCGCTAACTCCATGGCGTTTCACAGCAAATCCGCCTGTATGGCGCCGACTGCAACCAGACGGCGTTGGTGGTAAGTGGCACCGGGTGCGCCGCAGAGCGGTTGGGCTGAGCGCCGCGTCCGACAGCTCGAGGCGATCAAGCAGACCAAGGTCAACATGACCGTCTGGCTCGGGAACTACCCCGTCCCCACTGACCCCGCGCCGTACGAGAGGCAGCGCGACGCCATCATCGACGCGCTGAAGACGTACGGCACCGACCACGTCTCGGGCATCACCGTCGGCAACGAGTTCATCCTCAAGTAGGCTATCTCCCTCTCACATCGCGACTGCGTCCCGCGCTAACCGGGGCCGCACGCCCAGCTACCTCAACGCGAACGGCGCGACGGACCCGAACAGCGCGGTGGGCAACGCGGGCGCGCAGCTGCTCATCGCGAACATCAGCGACACGCGGAGCGCGGTGCAGGCGCTCGGGCTCAGCAAGACGCTCCCGATCGGCACGGCGGACGCGGGGAGCTTCTTCAACAGCGAGGTGCTCGCCGCGGTCGACTACGGCATGTCGAACATCCACGCGTGGTTCGCGAACGTGTCGATCGACCAGGCCGCGGGGTGGGTGGACGAGTTTTTCCAGGAGAACAACGTCGCGCTCGCGCAGACGCTCGCGAATAACCCGAAGATGTATATTGCGGAGACGGGGTGGCCGACGGCGTCGAAGGACGTGGGGAACGAGAGCAACGGGCCGTCGGTCGCGTCCGAGCCGAACTTGCAGGTGCGTCGTGCGCGGAGACTGATCTGATGGGTGTGGTCATGTCGCTGACGCGTCGAGTGTTGTGGAGCAGACGTTCCTCGATACGTTCGTGTGCCAAGCGAACAACAACGGCACTGGGTACTTCTTTTTCGAGTACTTTGACGAGACGTGGAAGGACCAGGAGTTTGGCGGCGTCGAGGGCCACTGGGGCCTGTTCTACTCGAAGTGCGTCGGTTCATCGTCATCTGTCGTTCGAGCCGTCAGTGTTGACTGTTGGATTGCAAAATACAGCCGCACCCTCAAGGACATCACGATCCCATCCTGTTGACCGCGTACACACAGCCGCGGTCGCGTACAATCTGACGTTTTCCCCCACATTCAAGTAGTGCCCTGACTTGCGATACCTCATACTACCCTACTGCTATGGTTCCTTGCGCTAGGACGCTCTTCTTTATGACTTCCTTCCGTTCGCCTGTCATGTGCTCGTGCTTGTTCTCCGTTGTCTCGTGTCGCATCCTACATCAGTATCCTGTTTCGACATCACCTGCATCTGTCAAACATCCTGCAGCATACGTTTACTCTCACGGACAATCCCCCACCCTTGGATTGGATCGGATCGGACTGGTGGGAAGGGCGGCCTGCCCCTCCCATCCTGCCTGCTCCGCAATCCTGTGCGCTCTTTTTGGTACATTCGTGACGAAGTACAGTACTCTATAAACCTCGCCCTCCAACCCCGCATTTTCGCACTTCTCGGACCGTTTCGGCTGGACGTTGTGACGCTGTTTCTGTAGCCCGTAGTAGTTGAGCCCTGGTAGCGTACTTGTTGTGCGCCGCCCAGGGTTCCTAATGGACAAAAGACTAGTCTTTGAGCGGAGTCGCTCCGCTGTGGCTAGGAAACCGTGGATGTCAATGGCCCAGGTCGGCGTAAGTGGCGGTGACTTGGGTGCGTCGTATATGACGGGTAGTTCATCGTGGTGGGTACTGGCTAAGACCGGACCTACAGCAGATCTGGTAGCTTCGTGACTGGGATATGCTATACCTCGTTGCGCCGAATAGTTGACGACGTCGTACCGCATCCAGTCCCGCGGGCAGGTCATGTCCATGCTCCTTGCGAAGAGGAGGGTATTGCGGATCCCTGCCTGGGCGAAGACGTCATGTCCACCGTCGTGACTGCTCCTGCTTCGGCACCTCGCAGCGTCAGGCAACGAGGCAGGCGGGCACCGCGGCCGGTCTCGATATCCTCCGTATCGTGGATGGATCTTCCGCAATCTGGGGACGCTCCTTCTTGATGCAGCGCGGCCCCGGTCACTCGACGCGGTTCTCCATGTCGTACTTAGCCTCGCTCCTATCGAGATTCGGGGTGCGACCAGCAGCTATAACGCCTCCGCCAGGGGATAGCGTGGCACTCGAGTGGTATAGGCGGGGCATGTTGCTCGTCGGTATGCGCTGCCCCGGAGCAGCGGACAGGTCATAGAGCAACACTACCGGCGTCGTTGACGGAGACTGTGTCGCCGGTAGGCGGGAGGACAGCGTCGGGCATCGTTCGCGCGTTCAGCGTCTGCTCGACTGGCCAGCCGGCGACACCTGCTTCCGTGAGTCAAATACGCGAGCGCTGGGAAGATGCGGGATCTGGGAAGCAAATCTGGTATCCGGCTTCGGTGTCGTCCACGGTCGACCTTGCGCAGAGAAGAATGCCAGGCGTGTAATTGTTCTCCGAAGACAGAGGCAGCCGGAGTCCAGTGCCAGTCATTGCATGGGTGATGCGGACACCTTTAGGGGTACGAGGGAGTCTCAGGCTGTGCTGGGTGTTAGTCCTCAATTGTAGACCCTAGCGTCGCGATTGGCAGCCATGAACATCGAGCCGCCGACCAGCGAGAAGGCGATCGAAAAATATTAGAGATCAACGTGTCCACGAGGAAAGGCAAGTGACATGGGACCCCATTGAAGTCGTGTAAGCTCTTCGGAGAGAAGTATTCGGGGGTTGCTGTTGATGGTAGGATTGTTGATCGAACCGTCATCGATCCAGCCTTCCTTTCGTGAGGCTCCGATGCTCATAGTGCTACCGTCAGAAATACGCAAGTCAGTGTTGTACCAGCAGGGGCGAACCATACGAATGCGACGATTATTCTCGTAAATCGTACACTTCTCCAACGTTGTCCGACTGGCAAGGCTCGAAGATACGGATTGCTTGAAGGCCGTCGACGTCGCCAAAGTCAGCGGCGGCCGTGTGATCTTCGACGACAGGATTGTCGCCTACGTTCATCGGCGTGCCATTGCTATGGGAAGTATCCCCAGCGCAGAACGAGTTCGACTGTAGGGAGAAAGGCTGAAGGGCAGGAGTTTTCAGGTTGTAGAGCGCCGCCTAAGCTGTCGAGAGACCGTAAGTGCATTGTGCTTACCCTTGTCAGGAGCGCATGAGTTTGAGAGATGATGGTCAGTTGCATGGCGTGTGGCACGTAGAACCTTCCTGAACAAAAGTCATTGGTCTGCGGGAATCCGCCGGGTAGACATATCGAGAAGCGGGCTATAAGATGGCATATTCCGAGGATCCAAGGTCTTGCCGGAGAGCGAGGAGGAGGCGGACCCCAAGTGACGACAATCCCATAGATGTCGGTGACTATACCGACATCGACGATGGATAAACCAAACTAGCCTTCAAACGGATCCATCCACTACGAAGCTTTCCCTCATGCACGTTAGATATATGAGCGGGCCGTCGCTAGCATTTATATGGCTTTGACTCGTACGACGCAGACTATATGCAAGATGGGGTTCAAGATGACGACTCACCTTGATATGCGCATTTTGGTTTCCCCGCCCGCACGCTGCTCCCAGAAGAAACAGCGTGCGGAGGGTACTTATCCTGAGGACCACGGAAAGGTATGCGCCAGGACCAAAGTCCCTCCCTCAGGGTAAGTGTCACTCACCTGTACCCGAGCCCGGACCCGGTCTTGCGTGCGACCTTGACTGAGTTGTTCCAGACGTGGTGTGTAGGAAGGCGAGCTTGCCGAGATGCAGTGTACGACGGAGCCTTGGTAATCCGGAGTATGCATATTGGACGTACGACGCGTCCCGAGGATGAGAATGTGGACTACCCTGCACCGATCTCTCAAAACTTTAGGGTTAGATGTTTTAATGTACGTCTTCTACCCAGCGGAAAGTCAAAAACAATGGCTCGTACAAGCAGAGGATTACAGATACACGTATTTGATGCTTGCTGGGGCCCGCCTGAAGGTAATGGGCCTACCGATCGACCGTACGAACGTGGTAGAGTACACGAGCTTGTACTGTTGAAGGCAAGTATTGTGCGTGGAAGTACGGCGGCAGAAACGCATCGATCGTTTTGTCTGTGATAAAAGTTTGAGTGAGGATAGTTCATGGAGTTCGTGCCTACAGCGATCGCATGTTCATTAGAATATCGTCAGTACCCCCGTACCAATGCTGTAGGTATGTATGCGTTCTGAGATAATCAAGGGCAGTGCTATCGGGTGCGCCACAGCAGGTTGTGGCCGAATTAATGTGCGTAGTGCTTGAGCGGCTTGTCTTCTGCATATACTCAAAGGATCCTGTGGCGTAAAGATGTGTGCGGTTACGAGCTGGCGTAGATTAGAAAGTGGCATATCTCGGGCGAATCGACGGGCTCGATAGAGGCTGCATGACTACCAAAGGCAAGCCTGTTGAAACGGGCGCCGCTTTGGCTTTGCTGTCACATAATTCGCTTGATCATCTACCACTGCGTCTTGTGAGATCACTAGCACTTTGAAGTCTACCCTTTTTGTCAGTGATCAAACCGCTCCAAAGGGCAAGGGACTTACAGAAGCAGATAGCCCCGCTGCGAAGCAGCGTGCTACTGAAAGGATTTGAAGCTGTAGGAGATGAACGGACAGCTGTAGGAGATGAACGGACAGCTTTGACATAGTTGGCTGGGCACTGCTTCGCCGCTGCCCAACGCTAGACTCGCTCGTAACTGATTCAGCCCTATTTTCCCCTACCTTGATGCAAAGCCGGACACGATATCAAAAATGTGCCTATGTCGCGTATCCTTACTCTAGAAGATCCGCTGGGGGAGTCACGAGACTTTAAGACGAAGAGTTTCATCGAAGAAGGCCAGTTTGATCGACTTCACCGCTGCGGCTAATCATGTCCCGCTGACCACCATTATCACCTAAGTAGACAGTATTGTATTTACGGCCTACCATGAGGCTCGGCCTCGCAGGGCAATAAACGGGATCTAGAAGAAGAAGAAACCGCTGCGGCTAATGGATGCTACTGTCAGATGTCGCTGCCGCTTTGAACGTACAGCCAGCGGTTAGTTCATTCGCCAACCTGGCAAGAGAGGGCTTGGTTCTGAAATACTACGATTCCTGCACAATTTGGGTGAATACCGCGACGTTGCTCTGTGAGTGCCATCCATCGGGCTACTTGGGGCGATCCTTTGACTCATCTCGTCGCAACTCCCTTCGAAATTGCAGAGAGAACCTAGCCGACGGCGGGCGACGGGACCGTTAGAGGTTCTGGAGTTCTGATACCCTAGCTGGCATTGACGTATGTGCTATGTGTTCGGCTTGATTACATCGGAGTCGGCGTCTTCGGCGTGTTTGACTTCATAGACACGGCGTCGGTTACCACCTGCGTACCCGAACAAGAGTGAGGGCGAGTGCACTGAGCGGGAGGACCGGGTGGTTCTCCATGTCGCCTCGCGCCTCTGCCTACAACTCTATCGGGCCCGCCGGTGCACCGTGAGCTTGAAGGTGGATGAGGGCACCTTGGGCTGGAAAACGGGGGCTTTATATACCTTTCGCCGCCAAGGATTAGCGCCCGCACTCGAGGAGATCCCAGTACTGATTCGCAGACCTTGGGGGGAGGAGACTCGAAAAATCCTAAGTCCATTCCGAGTAGAGGACTCAGCCCGACGTCGGCTACCGCAGCGGATACAGGCATTCTGTTGAGATTGTACTGGAATGCCCGGTCGTCTGCTGCAGGCGGCGGTCGCGATTGCGATGCCCCAGGTCGGGACCGACCGCAGCTGGTCCGCGTCCACACATATTCTCTTCTCGCCCAGGCCCAAACCTATCCATGCCTCTCCCGGCCGATGTGCGCCCGTCCCCAACCGTCCCCATTACAGTCGCCTTTCGAAACACTGGTAGGAGCTTGACGCACCAGAAGCGATGTTCAAAACGTTGAGTTGCTCCTTCGCTGCTGCGCGTGTGGAGGCCACAAACCTCAAGTCGTTGGCCAAGTCGACCATGTCTTACGTAATCACCACCACTTGAGTTATGTTCGCAGTTAAGCGCCGTGTTATAACTTAGCAAGAGTCCGTGGATATGTCATTTGCAACCATATCGAAAGAGGAATTGATCGCACAGGAATGACATACCAACCAGCCCACGCCTGTCTCCTCCAGCATTGTCCCGGTTCTATATGCTGTCTAGGATTGTGTGAAATGTGACTAGCATGGGAGCGACCGAGGTGTCATGTCGAACTCATTATTCACTTGACGCACCCAGCATCTATGTTTTATGGATCATCGATCACTCCTATAGAGATTGGGACACAACGGAGATCGAGATGCAGCAGAACAATGCGAAGGACATGTTGAGACTGTGCTACGCCGATGAGCATGAACAGACCAATAGCATGTTTGCAAAAAGCGGTGATGGAAACAATTGAGGTCGTGAACTGTACATCATAATGCCGATCGTGAAAATACAAAGATAGAAATACACGTCTTCAGATGTCGTCGATGTCGACCTCCTCGTCCTCGCCGAACTCGAATGTGCACTCGCCATCTTCTTCGCCGAAAGTTTCGGTCTCGTTGATTTTGGCGTTCTCGGGCAGCTCGCCGTATGCCTTGACTGAAAACCACATGGGTAGTGTAAGTGCCAAAAGCGACGGGATATCATGCGAAAAACCACGAGTGGGAGAAGGACGGGACAATGGACATGACATACGACTACGAGCCTCATCCGCGGTGTATTTCACGATGACATCCGCCTTGTCGTCCTGGAAGTCACGGAGGGAAAGGAGAATGATATCTCCTTGATTGATCCAGACCTGATCGTACGATGAGGGAGCGTCGCCATCGCATAAGGGACACTTCAATAGATCGACCAGGCTGGGAACGCACCTTCTTCCGCATCTTTCCCCGAATATGTGCCAGCCGCTTCTCGCCGTCAAAGCACATCGCCTCGAGACGGCCATTACCGAGCATCTTCGTGACCTGGGCATACTCCTGCCCGTCCTCACGGAAAACCAGCTCGCGCTTATCATCGTCGTTCTCGTTCTTTCCACGTCTCCGGTTTTTACCACCCTATTTCTACAAATTTGAGATGGAGCAATAGTAGTCAAATCAGTTTTTCTGACCTTTCCCTTGTTCTGGAGGCAAAATCTTGGTCAGCACGAATAGCGTGAAATTCGAGATATGTCCTGTACCTTCGGCATGCTGGACGAGTTTTTGACGTGAGATGATTCGCTTCTCTAGTGATAGATGGTGTGCGATAGACGCGATAGGGGAGTAAGGAAGGGTGGTGGGGAAAAGAGCGGAGATGGTAGAGGTGGAGGAAGGGAGTCAAGACGAAGGCGTCCTCTTCGGGAACCGAGGCAGTTCAGGGGCGTGACGAGTCACGCATAACTTCAGTGGGCCAATGTCACGTCCTGGTCTGAGTCCCTAACACGCATCACCCACCACTCTGAGCCCTAGTCCTTCCACCCTCTTCCTCTACGACAGCAAAGCATTATGGAACACGAAGTAGACGGGTGGATTGCGCAGCTAAGTCAGTGCAAACAACTCTCAGAAGCCGACGTCAAGCGGCTTTGCGACAAGGTGCGTGAACCCTCCCTGATGCGTGATAAGGCGAAGCGCCACCGGGGAGGGCACATTGACCGTTGGGGGCTCGCCTTTGGTGTATGCGTCGGTACTGACAACATACTTTCTTTTGGCTACTTACAGACGCGCGAGATCCTCATGGAGGAGTCGAATGTGCAGCCTGTGAGATGTCCGGTGACGGTTTGCGGGGATATTCATGGCCAATTCGTACGTCCGGTCCTCTTTTCATGTCGCTTCGTGTTCATGTCCGACATACTTTCTCCCTTTGTTCTATATGTTCGGTTACCTCGTCATCGTCATCGATACGCGCATCTAGCATGATCTGTCAGAATTGTTCCGCATCGGCGGCAACTCTCCCGACACCAACTACCTCTTCATGGGTGATTACGTTGACCGAGGGTACTACTCTGTCGAGACCGTCACCCTCCTTGTTGCCCTCAAGCTCAGGTACCGCGACCGAGTAACAATTCTGCGCGGAAACCACGAATCGCGACAGATCACGCAAGTGTACGGCTTCTACGACGAATGTCTCCGGAAGTACGGCAACGCGAACGTATGGAGATACTTCACCGACCTCTTCGACTACCTCCCCCTTACCGCACTCATCGAAAATCAAGTACGTGATCTCTCCTCCGCTATCCCCTCTGGCTATGTCCACTCCTAGACCGGGCGTGATGGCCCTTGGCACACGACTCGCGTAACCCGCCCTCTTGCCGCGAATCTCCTCCCTGTGCCGAACATGGAGGTCTACTATAATTCTCCTTTGCTGTCATCGGTTGCCGAGCCAACTAGAGGTTCGCTTGCTGCACTGATCACGGACATTGAGAGGGGCGCCTCCATCTCGTCCATTCGTGCGTTCCTGCCATGAGTAGACGTCCCCTCACAAACGGCGGCCACGATCGATTCGCTGTCAATGCTTCCATGCATTACCCACGTTCAGTCTTGATGGGTATATGGGCGCCTGCATAGCCAGACAAGTACTCCCTAGACGCTCGTTCTGACGATGTCGAACTAGATATTCTGTCTTCATGGTGGACTCTCACCATCCATTGATACCCTTGACCACGTTCGCGGCATCGACCGTGTGCAAGAGGTGCCCCACGAGGGACCCATGTGTGACCTCCTTTGGTCTGACCCTGACGACCGGTGCGGCTGGGGTATCTCACCTCGCGGTGCGGGGTACACATTCGGCCAAGACATCAGCGAGGCATTCAACCACAATAACGGCCTCACCCTCGTCGCGCGGGCGCACCAACTTGTTATGGAGGGTACGTAGACTTCCAAGCAGCTCCTCTGACGTCAGACTGATCGTCTTCTTACTCCTTTTGTGAACACAGGCTACAACTGGGGCCAAGATAGGAACGTCGTGACGATATTCTCTGCGCCCAACTACTGTTACCGCTGCGGCAACCAAGCGGCGATCATGGAGATTGACGAAAAATTATCCTACAGCTTGTACGTTGATCCTCACACTGTGCCGTTCAGGGTAGCCTCGTGCTGATCGTTCTCCACCATCCCGTCTAGCCTACAGTTCGACCCTGCTCCCCGAGCAGGCGAGCCGCTTGTCACGCGTCGTGTCCCGGATTACTTCCTCGTGAGTTTCTGCTCATTGCCGAGCATAGAGGGCCCCTTGCTCATAACAATTGCCTCCTACAGTGATCTGCTGCCAGTCATCCAGCTTCCTCCTGTTTGCACCGCCTCGTGTCTTTAGTACAGTACTTATCGTACGTCAGTACTTTGTAGCTCACCCCGTCAGGACGCTCCCGATCGCAAAGATGATACCTTTCCCGTGTACATTCGAACATATAAACTGCAGACGTGCTTGTAAATAGCTAGACAAACGAGAACGGTGATACAGGGAAGTTTTGCAAACGTGGCCTAGCCTTGTAGTCGTGGTCTACCTCTCCAGCTTACCTACACGGATACAGTGTGCATCAGGGCTCCAAAGCGGATAGGTTTCCCTGTCACAGTCGAACGCCAGGAGGCTGGCGACTGCCAGTACTCACGAGGAGTCACTGCGTTGCGAGGCCTCGGAGCTTGCTTGGTTCTGATGCGATAAGAGTGTAGAATCCACACTGATCCAGGGTGTGCTTGCACCATGTGTGCTCAGCTTGGATTAGGTTGGCGGGGTATCTAGTTTTGTTAGGAGCTGGAGTTGGTTTGCATGGTCGTTGATAGGACGGTTTAGGTGGGGCAAGACCATTAAGTCCGGAGTGCGCTTACACTGGATTAGACGGATCGCTTCGTGGGAGGTGAAGCGGTTGTACACATATGCGGGCTTTTGGGTATCGCACGAGCCAGGGAAATTCATAGCGCTATAGCGCCAATTTTATTGCATTCGGATGATGTGGTAAGAGATATTGCATCTACAGGGTACAGGCCTATAAAGAACCATAGGGAAGACCTGCAGTCGCCCACGGTGGGAGAAGACGCTATGGTGATCTAACAGCAACACCCCTGAAGTCGGCTTGCATTACTACGACAAGATGACGGTAGCCCCGCGGCGTCAGCATATGTCTACACTGGGGACAACACTGAGGCATATCGGGGAGACAGGTGTCGTCCCGTAGATGACCGGATTTGAATGCCCAGCAACTAGAGGAACATACCTCATAGTTCCAAGCAAGGTGAGTACCAGCTACACATGACAAGTAGAGGGTAGCGAGGCCAGGAGATCTTAGAGAGACAGCCGTCCTGCAAGTAGGATCATCAACAGCCCAGGTGCAGGTCGCGCGCAGAGACTCGAGACTCTAGTCGTCAGTGCATAGAGGGATCGAGTTCAAGAGAACGAGGGCCTGGCATCCATAAGTGGGGCATTTAAGTAGAGTAGCCTGATAGTACAAATTGCGAGTCCTGCAGCAAGTCTGTCTAAGATGGGGTGCATTAGGTTGGCTTAGACACGGTGAAGCAACCTGGTTTGCGCCAGATGTTACGCCTAATCCTGCCCAGGTTCTCACGTGGTGATCCGGATAGGGATCAGCGATGATTAGATCATCTGGTCCACCTGGATTAGACTGGTTTCGACAGTGTGATCCGCTCCTTTACAGAGCCCTGCTCGCAGCCGTTGAGCATATGTCAAGTTAGACTGGAATGGTCGTCTGAGTACATTTGCTAGCGTTGGATTAGGGTGGCAACTGCGTCTTCATCTAAGCCAGTCTAATTCACCCTGGACAAGAAACTTGGAAAACGCAGTGTGTTGAAGCTCAGGTAGTAGTGGGTACGATTGGTCTCTGGAAAGCGACAGGAACTGAGCCAAGCCACGCTGATTAGGATGCCGTTGTAATTGTAGTAGCAAGTCATGTAGCTCGATATCCAGGAATACCGTAAATGTGACCGACGCATGTCACGCCTAGTATATGGGCGCCCAAATGAGCGAGATTTCTGGACGCATCTGCTTCTCCGGACAGTACGGTCATCTTTATCTTCCACCATGGCCGAACCACAAGCAATGTATGCGACCGATGAGGTGCGTTACACTGAGCTTGCTTAAAGTGAGGTGATTGACGTGAGCTGGACGTTTTCGCAGTACGGTCGTCCGTTCATTATCCTGCGCGAGCAGGGTAGGAAGACGAGGAGCCATGGTGTAGAAGCCATCAAGGTGCGTGTCCCGGTACTTGTCCAGCATTCTGCTACCGACCTTCCTTGCACCAGTCTCATATTCTTGCTGCGCGCACTGTCGCGAACATCATCCGTACATCGCTTGGCCCCAGAGGTGCGTGCACACGCGTACCCATTTTCACCCCCAACTTATATGAGTCCTGCACAACCTAGGCCTCGACAAGATCCTCATTTCACCCGACGGCGAGATTACTGTCACAAATGATGGTGCAACTATCCTTTCACAGATGGAGGTGGAGCACCAGATCGCGAAGCTGCTCGTGCAGCTGTCAAAAAGTCAGGACGATGAGATCGGAGATGGTACTACGGGTGTAGTCGGTGAGTTTTAGCATTTTCATCGCATTAGTTCTCCATTCAACGTATCGTAGTCCTTGCTGGTGCGCTTTTGGAGCAGAGTGAAGAGCTTCTGGACCGAGGGATCCACCCTATCCGGATTGCGGACGGTTTTGATCGGGCGTGTAAAGTCGCTGTGGAGAACTTGGATCGGATATCCGACCGCGTACCCTTCTCACAAAATGATACCTCAAATCTGCTGAAAACTGCGATGACAAGTCTGGGCAGCAAAATGTACGCGTCCTTTCGATCGCTCTAGTAATCCTTCTCCCCTTCCCCTAAAGTTGAAAAACGCTCTTCACCTTCCACGCACTGCGCATTTTATGTGCTCATGTCCCTCAGTATACAGTCCTGTGCTGATACTCTTGATCAAATAGCGTTTCGAAAGAGCACCAGCAATTCGCAGAGATCGCAGTTCAAGCCGTCATGGCCGTCGCCGACCTCGAGCGGAAGGACGTCCCCTTCGACCTCATCAAAGTCGACGGCAAGGTCGGAGGCTCGCTCGCCGACACGACGCTAATCAAGGGCGTCCTCATCGACAAGGACATGTCGCACCCGCAAATGCCGAGCACCGTGCGCGACGCGCGGCTCGCGATCCTCACGTGCCCGTTTGAGCCCCCCCGCCCGAAGACGAAGCACAAGCTAGATATCACGAGCGTCGAGGAGTACAAGAAGTTGCGCGAGTACGAGAAGGAGAAGTTCGAGGACATGATCAAGCGCGTGAAGGACACGGGGGCGAACTTGGTCATCTGTCAGTGGGGCTTTGACGATGAGGCAAACCATCTGCTCATGCAGAACGACTTGCCTGCCGTGCGGTGGGTTGGTGGCCCAGAGATCGAGGTATGGCTTTTTGAGGGCCTCGTGTGGAACGTGTTTTGAACATCCCGTGTAGTTGATCGCCATCGCCACCAACGGCCGTATCGTCCCTCGCTTCGAGGACCTCACGGCGGAGAAACTCGGGCGCGCAGGTCTCATCCGCGAGTTGACCTTTGGCACGACCCGCGACAAGATGCTCGTGATCGAAGAGTGCGCGAACGCGCGAACCGTCACTGTCTTTGTCCGGGGTAGCAACAAGATGGTGCGAGCTCATCTTGACGTGGCTCTATACCTGAGCTGGCAATGCTGACCAAGGACATGCACTGTGCACAGATCGTGGACGAGGCAAAACGCGCGCTGCACGATGCAATCTGTGCTGTCCGCAACCTCGTGGTAGACAACCGCGTCGTCTACGGCGGCGGTGCGGCGGATATTAGCTGCTCGCTTGCCGTGGGTAAAGCTGCTGACGAAGTAAGTCCTGCGTTTCGCCCTTCCCGTGACATCGACATGGCTATAGCATGTCGTAGTAGCCTTCGGTGGTTGACTGGAGTTTTCCCCGCACAGATTCCGTCGATTGAGCAGTACGCCATGCGTGCCTTCGCGTCTGCGCTCGATGCGATCCCGCTCGCGCTTGCGGAGAATAGCGGTTTGTCGCCGATTGAGACCCTCGCGGAGGTGAAGTCGCGACAGGTTAAGGAGGGCGATCCTACGCTCGGCATCGACTGCTTGGGCAAGAACGAGAACGGTACGCATTGTCGCGGATGCATACTCATGTAGCATGTTCCAAAGAAAGGATGGGACTGACGGCATTGGCACAGACATGAGGAAGCAAAACGTGTACGACCCACTGATCTCGAAAAGGCAGCAATACCTGTTGGCGACGCAGCTTGTACGGGCGGTATTGAAGATCGGTGAGTACTTCGGCCCGCTTGATGAGCAGGCCCAAGTGTGTCACAAATGGATGGCTTGCTGACACTGTTGTAGACGATGTCATTGTGGCTGGGGAAGCCGACGCAGAGTAATTCAATGTAGAATAGAAACGCGCATTATACTACTGTCCATCTCCAGATCTAGTGCTGGCTTTGGCCTTCAAGCTACGGAAGTGCTATGCCTCCGGTTCTGCTCATGTGGCTGCTGTCACTTATACAATGAAAGGACATGCATTTTCATGCGCAGCCGTCAACGTGCCGGCATGTCAGGTCAAAGGGCATCAACAAGTACAGAGAAGGACCCCGAATCTCCCATAGCCAAACGGCTACCAGAGTTTCGGACATGAGGAGTCCCACCGCCACCCTCCTCTTTGAATATGTCAGTCGTTAATTCAACAGACAGAGAACACTCTGGATGCAGCATACTGGCGATCGTATTCAGCTGATCGCCATCTCCAACATGCGGTACCGTTCTCCATACAAACATGAGCCAGTGCCGACAACCTACGACGTGTACGATCCACATATGAAAGGACCAATCCTTTCTACAAGCTTCGACTGCGAGAAGACGATTGCCTCTTTGTTTATGCAGAATATATGTATCTAGAATCCAGCAAAGCACATGCATATATTCCTCCCTTGTATACTCGCTGCAGACGTCAGAGTGAGGAGGACAGTGGCAAGACTAGCGAGGACGGATCGATTCTTCCACTCATGGCGTACAGATTTTCCCGACTCTGGAGGAGAATGTCGGCATTCCAACAACCCCGGCCATACCGGCCCAGCCACCTGACTCGCCATACTGTCACTGCAAAGACAACAACGTCCAGGGTGTCACGGATCAGGTGAAAGCAGCCTGGAGAGCGACCAGCTTCGTCTCCTTCCGAGATAGCTCCGGGCGCAGAAGTCGGGGCCTGCATTGGGTGCGTGAGTCGTCGCGTTGTCTGGTTATGAACATGTTCAGACAACAGGTCTCATACCTACCCTGCCTACCCAGTGCTGCAGACGCGGAAAGACTCTATCCCTTGTGGCTGATCAGTATAGATGAATGCGGACAGATACGCCCGCTCGCTGTGTGCATCATGTAGGGCCTATTCCACAAACCCGAATGGGACCTGACAACCCGAAAGGGATATACTGCATAGGCGAGGTCTGCTGGTGTATCGGATAACACTTGCAGAGACACAGTAGAATGTAGGCGAGCCATGTCGAGGGTAGTAGCGAAACGCCTAGAGAAATAATAACCAAGCTTGTAAGCAATATCACATCGAGATCGACATGTACGCCAACGAGTACCCGTCATTGCCCCATCAGGAGCACCGTCTGCATATTCGGCACGCATCCCTTCTCCCGCATAAGATACTCCACAATATCGCGCGCATCGCACTTAACCGCAGTCTTCAGCATCTCCTGGTTCACTGTGACCCGGTCCCCGAGTTTCCGTTTCTTGGCGCTTCGCGGCGCGATGTCGCTGCTACTGCTGCGCTTCTTCCCGATCACCACGACGTCTCGGCCACTACCACCACCACCTGTACGTTTTACCGTTTGTGCAATCGTATTCGAGTCCCCGGCCACGTCGCCAGGGCCGTCTCTTTCGATGAGCATCCGCACGAGCGGGAGGCTCCGTCGTCGGATCGCTACCGCCACCGCGAGATTGTCCTTGCACTCTGGAGATGCCTCGTTCGCCAGCAAGAATCGGACCAGAGGCGTGAACTCCGCGTACACCGCGCGGGTCAGGGCATACCCGTCGTAGGAATTCGTCGCGATCACTGATATTCGCTCATGGCCGTACAGGTACCGCAAAAACGGGAGAGGCTCGTCGTCATCGGTCCACGGGCGCTGTCCCGGGTCGTCGCGGGGGGCGAGATTGCGGAACAGGCGTCGCGGCAGCACCGTCACGGTTCTTTGCGTACTGTGAGTCGATGATGCGAGTGGACAACTGGGGTTTCGAAAGATCGCCTCGAGAACCTCCTGCGTGCATATAGGATACCGAAGGATCCGCGAGACAAACCCGAAGGCGCGCACGCTCGCGGATTGAGCGGCGAGGTTTTCATAACAGGAGATAAGATAATCCGCGTGCACAGTTGCCGGCGCGGACTTGAAGACCTCGTAGAGGTATTTGCAGGTGAGCGGAAGAGCGGGTGAGGATGCGAAGGCGTGAATGTCGTAGAGCAACTGTACATATACTCATTCAGCACAGTACCCATTCTATGGTGTTGATCGATACGCACCTCGACTGGAAGGTGGTCTAATGCGACGACACGACGGCTCATCGTCAGGGTGCAGAGGGAACATGCTTACTGTGGTAGGCGCCCAAAGCAGGCCTGTGACATCACATAGTCACATTTGACGTCACATCCTACTGATCGGTGGCCCTATTCGGAAGAACATTCGCTCTTTGTGCCCACCTCCGCCCAAATTTCTACGTTGCGTTAAAGTCTTCAAAGGACTTTGTAAGAGTTCTTCAGTGGAACTAAGAGGCGGAACTACTCCGTTGCCGACTTGCTTTCACTAGAACTTAGAGAAGTCGATGTGTCTGCTGGCCAACACCAGAGTTGCCCTGCGGCCAATGTCGGATGTACTTCATATGAAAAGTTCATCACTTTATCCTACGGAGTCCGTCTCCTAGGCCGAGCCTGATGCCTAGCCTACTTGCATCAAATATCGGTCACATATGGTGGTGAGTATCTGGAAAGAAAGGTCCTTCAAAGGAAGCTCTTCCAATATTCCGAACATAAGAAAGAGCATTGAACGTCAGCCCCCAAACGACTTCCGCTCGTCGCCAAGACACTGAGCAGAAGATACCACATATGTTATGAAAATACTGTACCCTCACCTACTTCCGTTTGCTCTGGACAGGGAGTTCAGTGTACGTGGGACCCTGCGCAGCTCAGCGAAGGCGCCCATGGGACGCCGTCGTCACCTGAGTCCTGTCGGCGCCAAGCTAGCGTGGCAGGATCAATCAACTAGACGAGTCGAAACCCTGTCTTCTCGTCGCCGCATCCACTGGCCACCGCTCTGCCCCGCGTCAGCCTCGCGTCTTACAGCGCCTTGCATAAGTCCGTGGACGCGCTGATTTTTTCTCTCCGGCGTCTACGCTAAGCGACCTGCCCAAACAGGCCACATGACGGTCACAGGTCTGGAGCCCATGGCCCTCGCTGGCATCACAGACGAGTCTGCGATACACGCGTCTCGCACGTTCATGGTTGTTGACAGTCCATATTGCAGGGAGATGCGCTTGGTGAGGAATGGCACGGTCACTGATGTTCTCTGAACAAATAGAAGGTGATGCTCCACAAAGTAAGGACCGCAATTGATTACCCTCAACGGTCAAAATGTTTGCAGTGCGATTTGCAGACCATTAGCCTCGTTCTCTTACGCTCGACATGGGACATGGCAACACAATGTCTAGCGAGATCTGGAGATGCAGGAGGCGCTGCCACTAAGTACGCGTCCCTCGTGATTGTGCCTTTGCTCCAGACATGAAGTAAGCAGGTGAATTGTGTGGAGATTAGAACATGAGCATTAGACCACTTTATGCGCGTTCATATGTAGGACAAAATGAGATACAAACATTTCTTATCCATTATACACATAATGAACTTCTTGTATATCAAGTCAGTAGCTCTTCAATTGTGACGTGCCGTTATGGCGTAGTAGAAGTCTTCGTGATAAACTCGGGGCTGTGAAGACAAAGATTAGATCCGACTAGAGTCGAAGCAAGATCTTCAGTCAGTAAGGAAAGACTATATTGCAGCAACGAACTGTACCTAGAGTCGAAGCAAG